CCTCATCAAAGAGGGCCAATAAAAGCTCTTAATTAGATTATATAAAGGCCTTTGGTAAACGTTAATGGAAATTTATACCGAAGTCCCGCAACATATATATTTTATTGTTGATTCACTACAATAACTACCACGAACGGAGTATTTTAGTTGAAGTGGCCATTAAATATAAATTCTTTGATATCTGTATGGCTAGCAATTGATTGTTAATGTATACAAAAATATCCTAAACCAAATATTTGAAGCGTAAATTGGCAAAAGCAATCCTATTTGCTTCTTTAAAAAGTTGATGTTTCCATTCATCCAGTTCACGTGGCCCATCTATTTCTTGTGGTTTATTTTGATGGTTTTTACAACGAACAATTATCGTTTTATAAAGTTTTCATTTTACATTTTCATCAGCAATTAAGACGGTTAAGAAAGAGTGTTTGATTTCTTAGGTCTGGGACATATAATTCCCGTATTCCATTCTTCAAGTAGAGTGTGCTGTGGTGTCGGGATTTTTTTTTCCCGAATACCAATTGAAATGATGTGTAACCTGTTGCTGAATGTACCGAAAAGTTGTATGCAAAGCAATACTATTGTACCCATGTACTCCAACTTGTCGAGAATTTTGACAGGTTTATCCTAAGGGATGCATTTAAATGCTTATGAGTATTTTCTAAAGCTACAATTGTCTTTTGGTGATACGCTGTGGAGTGTAGTTGCTCTATTTGCAGCAATGCGCATGTGTCCTTAAATATTCTTGCCCTAAACTATGTGCCTTGGTCTGTTACTAGACTTCTGGATACTCCATACCTCATAATGAAATTTTCTACCAATAATTCGGCTATTATGTATTTCGGTTTTTTGTTTTCTATTACGTATCCTTCTATGTATTTGTGATTGTATGTATTACAATGAGATAGTCTTGGGTCATGATCGAGTGCTTATGCTTAAGGCATTCGTCTCATCTCTTTACATTCTTCAACATATCTTCGTAATTCGTTGCAGAAATAGTATTTTCTTATATTTTTATATATTCTATCTATTCCTGCACGTCCTCCTGTAGGTAACATGTGAAAATCGTTAATTATAATTCTTCTTACTGTCCAATCTGCTAGGTACTGTATTTGTACCAAGTCTGATCGAGGTTCTTGATATCTCAAGTTTCTTAATAACGCTGACGTTGATCAAGAATCTCATATCAAATAAATAATATCATTTTCATTATTCACTAGATTGTTTTCTGTATGTACATAGCAGACTCTAAGTTAATTTCCTGTATTCATCACCGTCTATTAATCTCACTTCTATAGCATTTTTCGGTAATTTAACAGTTCGACAACGTTCCGTTCCATCATGGAAGAGTTTGTTAAAGATGTCTTGAGCTTACCAAATGCTTACTATTTATAACTGGGAATAAGCCACATTAAAGATAAAAATACATTTATTGACGTTTCAATTTCCAATTCGGAAATCGTTCTCAAAATACAAATAGTAAATTAAACAAATTTTGTTTTTTGTTACATAGTGAAAAAATTCTTCTGATAATTTAATTTTATCTGACTCATTTATATTGACAATTCAGACATACAATATGCATTTTAAAGTAGACGACTTTAAAATGATATTGCCAATATTGTTGAGTTGCGCTCCTGGGACGACTTTACTTATAAGATAGTTCATTCGATTACATGAAATCAACTTTAACTTGAGAATATCCGTCAGAAAAAATCATAGCATGTAATTCGTCTTTAAAAAGACAAACACATGACATGATGACAGTAAAATTCTCCTGTTAGTGATTCCATAGTAAATTATGAGGGAAAAACCAGGAAAAAAAAACCTCATAATACTATCCCGACATTGTAAGTATTTGTTCGTGAATTTAGTTTACCTTCAACAAACATCAAAATTCTGATTTGATATGTTACGTTATTTAAAAAACATAAATGATGTATCCTCTATATGTTACTGACTTACTAATACTGGTATTTTCTTATTAATAACTTCCTCTTTCAATAATACCAAATGCTTTTAGACATTCTGTTGTCCATTCAAACTCTACTTCATTTTGCAAATGCACAATGCAATTGCATATTTTCTTTAATAATTTGCAAATGCTACAAATCCTTCGCTTCTTTCGCGTTCTGCACGATACAGTTCCATTGGCATAATTGTTTGATCTGGTGCTCAATTAAGTGAGAAAGTGATTTTCCATTGCTTTTTACAGTTTGTTGACTGGAACACTATCATAGGCCTCTCGGAGGTTCAAGAATACAATGTGCAATGCAGCGTTGAACGCTATTATTAAAGTATTAGTTTTAAATATCTAAGATCGGTATTCGATACAGAGTAATTATGACCCAATCTAGAAACGCATGAAAAGAGGTAACCGTAGAGGGATAAGACTAGGAGACTGATGATAAGGTAGGTACCGATTTATACGTCTCATGAGAGAGATTTAAAAAATTCTATCAACCATAAAAAACAGGATATACAGAGTGGCCCAAAAGTCTGGAAACGGCTAATTATCTCGTAAATTACTAGACATAATTATACAAAATTTGAGATACGCCTATTTTGGGATACGGAGATTCCATATTTGGTATTTGCAATGTTGCCAGATTTTCAGTTTCTCTTATATTACCAGTAACTTTGGTTTTTCAAATGCATCACCCTGTATATTCAGTCATTATTGGAATCTCCTATTAAATACGAGTTCAACCATATGTAACACTTATGATTTTATGTAGTCTGGAAGGTCTTAAATACATAAAACAGAAGTCTGGCAACGCCTAAATTGTTTCAATACATTTTTTAATACTATTTTCAAATACATTAAAACGTAACAATTGATAGTTTAGAATATTTTTTAACATAATAGTTACGTATAAGTGTTCAAAATGTGCCCCATTTGTGAGTTGACAGCACTCTAATCGATGGTAGAATGCGTCTACCACATTTCTCCATGATTGTCTAGAAATTATTCGAGATTCATCGATAATTCATTGCCGTAGCTATGCAAGACTTGCTGGTTAAGTTTTGTAAACTGAATTTTTCAAGTATCTCTAATAAAAATAATCTTTAGGATTGATATCGGGTGAACGTGGGGGCCATTCAATTTTACCTTATCTACCAATTTATCGTCCGGGAAATATCTCATCTAAATAACGCCGAACATTTACACCAACTATCTGACGTTAAATTTCTTTCGATAAAAAATGGCCCAATTAAATAAGTACTTCTAGCATTGTTTTTCTTCGCCGAGATTCTTAGCATCCCTTGGCGACTTAAGGTTGATCTGCACCCCCCAAAAGATAAATTCCGAATTCAAAAAATTTTAGAAGGTGTATGAGATGACTAGAAGTATTTTGACAACTTTTAAGCAAACTTCATGTTTTCGTTTTTAAAAAAACTCAAAAAAACTACTTTTTTCCAAGTATAAAGCGGGAAAACCAGACATATAATTTTGTTCATTTTTTTACAGCATCAAGATATAATTATAAGAAATACTTAGGAATTTTTTGAAAATTTTTGAATTTACAATTTTGTCCCAATAGGAAAAAATAGTATGTTTCTGCTTATAATAAAGCTTCCGGTAAGAAACCAAAAAATTGTTTAATTACAACATATATAAAACTGTAAAAGTGGAAAATATTTGCAATAAAACGTTAAATATTTTTTCCTAAACATATGAAAAATCTCGTTAAACAAGAATTATGTCTTGAACCGCCGCCTTCCAATGTGTAATGTAGGGAGATGGCTCCATCTGAAACAGTGGTAGCATTACGTTCGGCTTCGAAACGTTTCAAACGAAACGACATAGTAACAGGGTTGCCATATCAATTACTTTGTACAACAATTTGGCAGAATATAATAAAACTTAGTAGGAATGTTATCGGTTTGAATTTTGAACTGGTCATAATGAAACTTACAGAGTTACAGAATAGTAGATACTGCAACTTTTATTTTGAAATAACGATATAAAATTTACACTCTATAAGTATTATATCTATAAAAAACTTATTTAGTTTTAAAAACCTAGTTAGGCGTTTTTAGTAAATTATTTTAGTATTTATAAACAATAGTGTTCCTTGCATAACGGCCATTAAAGGTTAAATTGGCAGATAATGATAGTCCATTATTTATGTCGCGCAATAATATGAGGTTGTTAGGAACCAAATTTTCTAGAATTCAATTAAAGGATGACTTAACTAAATATCAAATAAACTATTTGAATAAAGTGCGAGAGGAACTGGAAAAACCTAATCTACTTAACAAGGAACTAACAATAAAGTATATTAATAAAGTTCCCACTATTATTAGTACTAACCAACAAAATGCCGCAAAAAAACAAATAGAGTTGACAATAAATATTTTTTAGACTAATATTGCTTCTTTACATGCTAAGTTTTCTGACTTTTTGTCATTTACATCTTCTAATTCCCATATACATATTTTTGGGATGGAGTTCCTCTGAAATCGGTATGAAAGTTAATAATTTTAGTGTTACGGTCAACCAAACAATAAGTTGGCCTACTCAAACACCAGAAGTAGTTAGTAAAGCGAACTCTGCTTTATTATTTAAAACCTTGGCCGGCCACAGACTAGGGGCCGTTGCTTGCAATGTCTTTTCCATCCTTTTCTTTCTTGGGATATCCTTGGGGAAAAATACCATTAGTAGCGAGATATTCAATACCTCTAATGGGTTGTCTACTATATTTAATGATTTAATGGAAATGAATCACAATTTTAATTAAAAATACATTTATTTTAACGTTTTGATTTCCACCGCTCTCAAAATACAAATTAAAAAAAATTATCTTTTATTTTGAGACCGAAGTGAAAATCGAGAAGTCAAAATAAACATATTTTCAATTAAAATTGGGATTAATTTCAGTTAAATGTAATAGATACCATAAAATGCTACAAAGAAATAGTTCCAGAACCTGTAAAGGGTGTAGATTATACGGATATTCGTAGAACAAGAAAATATCAATAGATAAAACAATATCAATAAGTAAGAAATGAATGCCAACACTTTTATTTTACACAAAAATATAAAATCACACTTTTTATTTAAGTAAATTTACCAAGATCCGTATTTTTTATTCCACTCGTAATATTTATTAATATTACTCCCCATTGCACTGGAGGAAACCCTTTCTAAAGCATCGATAACATCTTTAAAGGTAATAGTTCTTGTATCCATTTGAACTTTATTACTTCCCTTTTTATTTATTTCATCTATTTTTTCACGTATAACACTCATTGTTACTTCTTTACATAAACACTTAATGTCACAAGCTGAAAAATTTTCAGTAAGCTTAGCCAATTGCTCTAACTCATTCGTTTGAATATCATTATGACCTAAGTACTTTCTTAAAAGTTTCTGTCTTGAAGTTTCATCTGGCAGTGGTACCAATATTCGTTTTTCAAAGCGTCTTAATAATGCAGGATCTAGATTCCACGGAGAATTAGTGCTACCAAGTACAAAAACATTTGAGGGACAGTTCTGAACACCATCTATTTGCGTTAGTAGTTCGCTTTTGAATCTTTTAGAAGCTTCGTGGTGAGATTCCTGCTGAACCAACGCATCAACTTCGTCTACAAAAATAGTGGTAGGGGCAAATTTCCTAGCCAACTGAAACAGCAGTTTCAACATCTTTTCCGATTCTCCCCTCCATTTGCTAATGAAGGTACTACTAGTAACATTAATAAACGTGGTACCTTCAGAAGCCACCGCTTTTGCCAGTAACGTTTTTCCATTACCGGGAGGGCCAAACAATAGAACACCTTTCCATGTTGTAACGTTTTTAAACAAATCTTTATATAACAAGGGATAAACGCTAGCTTCTTTTAGTTTTTCCACAACGCTGGAAAGACCTATACAGTCGTCCCAAGAAGTTTCGATGTTGGTTGAAATGAATTCTTTTTTTATTTGGTCGGCCAAATTCTTCATATCGGCAGGAATAGTATCAAAATCGGAAATGTCTGAGGTTTCTTTGTCTTCACAATGGACATCATCGTTAACTTGTTCAAATAAAGGTTTTATTACGATTGGAAAATTACAGACCTCTGATTTATTAATCTCTTCGGCTTGTGGCGTTTGCTTCATTCTTGCACTAGATTTTGGTTTACCTTTTGCACTTCCAACCGACTCTTCCAATTTTTTCACAATTTTCGGATATTTCTGAAACTTGGTAAAATAATAACTCTGATATTCTTGTAATATTATTTCCAAATCTACATTTTCACACACTTGATATTCTGTAGAAAGTTGAGCTTCTTTCATTAAATTTTCCGCAGTATCACACAGTTTATGTTCCACTAAATAACAATGAATTAAATATAATATGTTTCTCTTCCTTTCCCGGATATCAGTCTTAGTTTTGTCGGACCAAGTTTGCGACGATTTCAAGGTTTTTCTGGCGAATAGAATTTCTGTAGAATTCATGTTAAAAAATAATTAAAACGTCAACTCAATTGTACTTGGGACAATGGTATCCAGGTAAACATAAATAATAGAGGTTGGTTACTAAGCAATTTAATCAATATGAAAATAAACTGCTCATCAAAAGTTACGAGTCCTATAAATGATCAAATTGTAAATGTATTACTATTTATTAGTACACAGCAAATTGGTAACAAACAAATCCGTAGAAATTAATTTAAAATAACGTTACAGAAAAAATTTTTTTTATTTTTTTTTATTGAGTTTAATGGGTCGACAACTAATGGTCATTGGCATGGTACAGTGAATTTTTACAGTCAGGTATACTTTTTCCAAAGTCAATTTTCCAAGTGGCGGCTTTTGAGCTTCTTTGATGCAAATGCCGACCATTGGCGTGGAAATTAAGAAAAGGGATCAGTTCATCAAACGCATATTTCAAGAAAAATCATAATTTTTATTAATTTTTACATAATTATATTCAGGAAAATTTTTTTTTACAGAACAATTTTTTAAACAAATTCAAAATATCACCTTTTGTGCTCCAAAAAATATTTTTTAGGTTTTTGGGTGACTCTAAATAAGATCTATGTCATTTTTTCTCAAAAGTTAATAGTTTTGGAGATATAGGCGATTTAAAATCCGAAAAATGCGATACCTAATATGCATTTTCGAGGCTTGAAAAATATGTAAATGAGTATTTTTGAGATTCAAGAGTATTTAAACTAAAGTCTCGACATTGATTTTGGTGAGAAATTGGGGTAATATTTTCCGTAGCAGAAAAAGGAGATCTTTTGAATTTGAATTGTTTCCGGCAAAAATGTCCGGCACCCTTCAACCTTCGATTTGTTTAAACGCGGTATTTTTGAATAGGAATCTTCAAAGGACAGAATCAGTTTTTTTTTTCAAATGTGAGCGGGCTCACAACATCTAATAAATAACAAATTAATTCTTTCAAATTAAAGCTTGTTAATTTTAGTGATTTATAAGAATATTGGACTTATTATTTAGTTTTTACATAAACCATAATATTTTTTTACAATTATCTGTAAATAATGGTTCATTCTGTCAGAAAATTTTAAAAGATTGTCTATCCAGCAAGGACAGAAAATCTCAAAATATTGTCTGTCCAGCAAGGACCACGAGGAGGTATGAGCCTTCCTTGCCAGGAAAGGAAAGGGTTAGGTATGTTAGTAAGAATATAAAGTTAGTTTTTTTTTCATTTTGTTTTTATTATTTTTTTTTTTTTTTGTTTTTATATTTTTTTTGTTTTTTGTTTTTTTTTTGTTCTGACTCTATACAGTGTGTCGCATTTAAGATGAAGATACCCCTATATTTCGGCTATTAGAATAAATACCAATTTGAAATTTTGCACAGTCATACAGGTTGTCAATTCACATTTTTTAAGATAATCAACTGAAATTTAATTTTTTAAACACGGCCTACTGTTAATGCACAAACAGGGTGAATCTTCAATATTTTGCTTCGAGTTAGAGATATCGGAAAAAGTTATTTGGAAAAGATGTTCCAAATATTATTATAACCCCACATAACAAAGTTTTATGTCAAAATTCGCACTTTTACTTTTTTCAATAATTGAAGAGCTTATTTCCAGTGTCTTAAATCCAAAATTTCGATTTTTTTAATTTTCTTTTTTTAAACTTTATAGATTTCTTCAAGTCTAAAATAAAGTTATATGTACCAAAACAACTTCTTATTTGCCATTTAAAAGTGCATATGAAAATTGTAAAATTGTATAATTTGTATGTTAAATTTGTATGAAAATCTGTAATTTCATGGATTTCATTATATGGATTTAAGACACTTTGGAAATAAGCTCTTCAATTGTAGTCAGGATTCTAAAACGGACAGTTGGCTGTCCCGAGATGCATCTTTAGACAGCCAATTGTAGATTTAGGATCGAGATTACAAATAATACTGAAAAACTAAAATTGCGAATTTTGTCATGAATTTTGGAATGTGCGGTTACAATAAGTGGAATAACTTTTCCAAATAAGTTTTTCCGATTTCTCTAACGCGAAGCAAAATATCGAAAATTTACCCTGTTTGTGGATTCGCAGTAAGCCGCGTTTAAAATTTAAATTTCAGATAACTAACTATCTTAAAAATATGTGCACTATCAACATGTATGACTGCAAAATTTCTAATCTGTATGTATTTTGATAGCTGATATATAGAGGTGTCTTCATCTTAAATGCGACACACTGTATAATAATGAATACTAGTGTTCAAGATGCATCGCGATAGCTGTAAAGAAATTAATTAGAAGGACTAAAAAGAATCGTCAGAGTCTTCTGAAGTCGAATCGTTCCCAGGTTGTATAACTATTGGTGCTATTGCCGGTAAAACAGGATATTCATTTTCTATTTTTACAACATGAGCTTCGCAACTTTTCCACACATCGCTATTAATGCCACTAATTACTTCTCGAATATTCTCAATGGCCACTGCGCTTAATGTTGGTGACTGATTATATTTTCGCAATCGTTTTTTTACGGTACCCCAAACCATTTCAATTGGATTAAAAATGCAATAGTATGGAGGTAATCGCAAAAGAGTATGGCCGTGCCTGCTGCAAATGGTGTCAATAACGTATTCGTTTTTGAAATTCCGACTTTTGATCATTCTAATTAATTCTTTTTTTACTGGAATCTTTTTAGGAACAGTGATATTTTTAAGTTCCATAAATTTTAAAATTTCGTCCTTTTTCGTGTTATTATTAGGTATTTTATTTAATATGCGGGAATGATACGACGCATTATCCATAACAATCACTGAATTCGGCGGAATATTGGGCAAGAGTTGTTCAACAAACCACTTTTCAAATAAATCGGCTGTCATATCTTCGTGATAATCGGCAGAAGACTTTGTTATATTTTTGGCCGACAATAGCAATGCATTAGATACAAAACCATCTTTGCTTCCGGCATGAAGAATAATAACACGTTTTCCTCGTGAACAGGGTGTATTTAATGCACACTTGTTTGTGTTGTCAACCCAGCCGTACTTGACAACATCATGCGTATCGAACCAGGTTTCATCTAAATAGATTATGTTTCTGTTTGAATTACGATACTGTTTTATTTTACTCAAATACTCTCGTCGAAGTTCAACAATACGCCGAGATTCCATTATTACCATTCGATTATCTAATTTCTTATATTTAAATCCACAACTTATCAAAATCTCGCGCAGTGTTTCCAAAGATGTATAATTATATTCAGGGAAATCTCTCAATTTTTCACGAATCAGTTCTAAAGTAGGCACTCTATTTTCTTTGTAAAAATTGTAAACTGTTCGCTGAATAACGTCTTTTGCAGCAGTGTCAATCCTACCCAATTTTTTATTTGGTCGCTTTCGTTTTAAGGAATGATCTGTAACAATGCCTAATTTAATAATTGTATATATCGTCTTATACCCGATTTTTGTTAATACATGAATTCTCGAAACAATTGCATTATCAGCCATCAAAATATTTTCTTTTTTCAAACACTCATACATATTTAAAACTATTCTTTGGGATTGTACGTGCAAATCTTTATTTTTTAATTCGGGGCTGTCATTAACATAATTGTCATTATCTATTGATAACACAGAAGTTGATGCATCTTGATCATTCGTATCAAATGGTCTCCAAAATGCCATCCTAGAAAAATATAATATTACTTACCTTATTATCCGCCTCTGATAGCTGCTTGCAAAATGAACTATTTAGGGTGTCATATAGCCAGACAAACAGGTGTTCCATCAAGATTTATTGCGATGCGCTTCGCTGTTGCCAAGTTTAAAATTATTGAATGTAACTTTAATACCATAATTAATATATCTGCAATTTTTCATGTTTCCAGGTAAGGTATAAAATCAATAAAATTTGGAAAAAAATAATACAATTCTTGAAACCGTTTTTCAGAACTTGGATTCTTAAAAGTTGTCTGATTTCTTAAAAGTCGATCATTATATCTATAAGAGTATTACCGCTAAATTCACCAACATGGCAACGTCGATATAGACCGAACATCGAAATCACCTCGAAATTCTGTCCAGACTACAATGTTGCCGATATTCGAAAATTACTTAGAGTATAAGTTATATATACAAAGTTCACAGTTGCTTTAATTCATTAGTGAAGAGTCCATGGAAATATTAGTACCTAGTTAATTAATTTATATAGATATATTTTTTGAGAATATGTTCATATTATTTTTAAGAGTGTCGTTCGTTGACTAGCAATTGAATAATAACGAATAGAGAATAGAGAATATTTTTTAAATATAACCTTAGGAATTTTAGGAAATATGTCTGACAACCTTGATTTGAAAGGCGGTCTCTTTGAAATCAGAGTGAGGCATATTTATGTTGGAAAATTATTAGTGGATGTACTATACCTAGTGTAGTGTGTGTAGAGTAATCATCGAGCAATAAGACAAAAGAGGGAATGTAAAGGTAGAAGGGGTAAACATATTGATAGACAGGAAGTGCCATCTTGAGAGGCCACTTTAGACAAGGATAGACAGTCTCTTTCCTTGTTTAAGAAGTCAAATTTAGTTTGGTTATGTTATTGTTTGTCCCAACTGTCACATGAAATTTTATTTATATTGAAGTTTTTTACCAATTATGTCACTTTTTAGACTATTATCGTTAATATTTAATTAAAACTTTCTAGTCTGAAAAATATTTTATAGCTATTGTTAACAAATGTTGGAAAATTTAAATTTAGCGCCTTTGCATTTCCGGATGTGTCCGCCATCAGAGGCCACTTTTTTGGTCTCCTTTTTATAACGATTAGATTCCCTCTTTTGTCTTATTGCTCGATGAGAGTAATTGTCTTATTACTTAGCAAAGTCGACGTCATTGTCTTTGCTAAGAGACGCTAATTGTATTCGAACGTCTGCGGTCCCTCCGGTGAGTACCGATCGCACAAGGATAGAAATTATTTTCATTCATTAATTTTTAATAAACGAAAATGTCTCCACCCAGGTGAGATTCGAACTCACGACCTTTAGGTTCAAAGGTAGGAGCTTTTACCACTGAGCCACAGAGGGGGTTTAGAAAAAATTTAAATTATTATATTTCACTACTTTATTATTTTATAAAAATTAAAGGTGGGTACTCCTAAATCTAACAGTTCCAAAATAACTTAAAAAATTTTTACGTGAAGAATAAACTTATCAAGGAAGAAATAGGGGAAAATACACGTAAGTTACTAAAACTATCGATTCATAAATACATCATCTTTTGGTGAAACTTGGAGCGGATAGAGTAGTTTTATCACGAGTAATAGCAATAATGAAGTATAGATTCTGATGAAGACACACTCGATGAATATCGATACGGAAATAGATCAAAAGAAATGGAAGAAACTTTTTCTCAAAGAAAGTACCAAGAACCACAGTCAAAAAGTCACAAATAGACCAAATATTAAATATAATGACAAAAACAAAAGAGTTACCAGAATTAAAAACGGATGTGAAAGAAATATTATTATGCCAATCGTCAGGGATTAAAATGCCACTGAACCTCTAAAAACCATACGAACAAGCTGAATTTTGCTGAGAATGTCGGTCTTTGGACTCCACAAAAAGTTTGTCACTCCTACACACGGGATTCTCCTTAAAATCCCGGTAGAGACAGGATTTACTAAGAATCTGTATGCCGTAGAAAAAATATTTCAAACAAGAAATATTGGGTCCGTGCGTGACCATGGTAGGGGATCTTTGAAACGACGCCAGCGTGCGTAGCGGCGAAAAATGACAAAATTGGAATCTTTTTAAGCATAAATTTTATCAAAAATGTGTGCAAATACATGTTGCATATTAAATTGTGCTAATAATAGCAAAAATAGGGAGTGTAGTTATTATGGGTTACCAAAGATTACATATAAATTAGAGAAAAGAAAAAGATGGATTCGTGCTATTAATATGAAAAAGTAAATATCACATAATTTCATTGAAATAAAATAGGAAAAATTTAAATAATTTACCTTAAATAACATTTTATAACGCTTCAAGCTAACTGCAGAGTGCCTGATGACTTTAGCTTTATATCATAACTTTTACTATTATTGTTTTTTAATTATAAATATGCTCTTTCACGTGAAAAACTTTATTTGCCAGTACTAGATTTTTCCCTTTCTTTTCCGTTTGGGGTTAAAAATATATATTATGATGAATTTTGAGAAACCCAGTTTTTAATACTACATTTATTTTGTACATAAACTGAAAAAATATAATTAAAAAATTGTTTATTATTAATAATTGTCAATTTCGCATGTATTTAATAATGTCAAACATATGTCATGTGCCTAACCTGAAAATTGGGAGGTCCAAAACGGTCAGATGAAGGCGGTAGGTGTCGCGTCAGTCACGCACGGAGCGAATAGCCGAGATGATTTTGAAAACATTGTTTATTAGCACTTTTTCTGTAGAATGAACCGTTCTCTCAGAAATAAAGCTTGAAGCGACCGGCAATTTTGAATGACAGTTAAGCGCACCAAATCAATATCAACTCAACCGTAAATATTCGATATCTTTTGATCAAAATTTGCTATCGACAAAAATTAAAACGTGTTTTAAAGACGAAAAGTGCAGCTTTCGTGTGTAATATTTGCATTTTGCACCAAATGAAGTTATTTTGCCATTAATCGGTCATTATGGAATTTCCATTATTAGAGCCTAATGTTCAAAACCTATAGCATGAAATTTCAATTTTAAGAGTTGGCAACAAATATGAGACATTTGAAATATGCCTAAAAAACGCTGAATTTAAACTTTCCCATTACAAACAGTCTAAAACATTTAAAACTGGTCGTTTTCGATTGCAAAAGTACGTTTTACGGCAACTACACAACTTTAGCTACAAATTCCACTAAATGCCATATTCGTGGAAGCATTTCCCGTGACGTGAAATCGTTTTTAATGAGAAAGTTTAAATTCAGCATTTTTTAGGCATATTTCAAATGCTTCATATTGGTTGCCAAAACCCAACATTGAAATTTTGTACTACAGGTTTTGAAGATTAGGCTCAAACAATGTACACTCGCGATCGTAAAATCCGGGTCACCTTGAAAATTTCAAGTTTCGTAAATATTTTTGCTTCTGGTGGAGTAATAACCTTTTTATAGGCTGATTTATCTTTTTTTTGTCATCAATGTTTATTTTAAAGGAAAAAAAATTTTTTTTTATTGTTTTATTGAAAATACAGAAAACAAACCAAATTATTGATAAAACAGACATACGAAAAAAAAAATGGACTCCGGATTACATGTTGTGGTATGTTATTCCACTCTCTCACTAACAGATCCTTAAGCTCCTGAGTGTTGTTGAGGAGGTGTATCGGTTTGAATACGTTTTTTCAAATCGTCCCAGAGATGTTCAATGGGATTCAGGTCCGGAGGCCTAGCTGGTCAGGGTAACCTCGTAATTCCAATCTCGTTCAAGTATTGCATACTGATTCTTGCAACGTGCAGTCGCGTGTTGTCCTGAATAAAAACGGCATGTTCTCCAAGCCCTGCTATGGTGGGCATAACATGTTCTTCCAGAATCTCCGTAACGTACCTTCGTGCAGTTAGGGACCCATTTTTATGAAGGGTAATTCTGTGCGGAAGTCTGAAGATACATCTCCCAAGTCATGACCGAGTCTCTACCAAATGGAATTCTTCTTGGAGCAATGCAAGCTTGTGAAAATCGGTCACCGGTTCTCCTCCGAACTCTTACACGGCCATCAGATCCAGTTAGGCGGTAACAGGATTCATTTGAGAATAACCCTTTTTTATTCGTGCAACTCGATGCTCCGGCGAAGTGGCGGTCCTGTAGCCATTACCCGAGAAGATAGTCTAGAAGAACGAAGACTTCTCCTAACTGTTGCAACCCTAGCATTGTAATTTCAACCACAGTTGAGGTCCGCGCATGCCATGGTCGTCTTTTTCGTCCAGATCCAGGTCATCTGGTTAGTAACCCGTCTTCTGAAAGCGTTGAAGCACTCGTTGAACCGTAGAAGGCTTACGTCAACAGTTCTTGCGACTTGCCGTTGAGTGTGACCGTCTTCCACAAGCGCAACAATTCGTGCCGTTTCAACAACAGTCAAAGGCATTTTTGGCAAAAAATAATCAATAATAAACACTAATAATGGCACTAATATACACTAATGATAGCAAAAATAAACGTTTGTTTTTACCGTTGAATTGATACAAATTTTAATAAAACTTGATTTCGCGAGCGTAACTGAAATTCAATTGCCGGTCGCTACAAGCATTGTTTCTAAGAGATTCATTTTACATCAAAAGTGCTAATATAACATTTTTGACCAAAATTATCTCAACTGTATTTCTTGTTTGAAACATATTTTACTACAACGTACAAATTTTTTTTACCCGAATTTTTCCCTTCGATGGGAGTTCTAGTGGGAAGTCCGGGAGGTAGGAGTTGCAAACTATAGACATAATAAGCCCATATTGTCTATATATATATATATATATATATTATATATATATATATATATATGAATATGAGACATTTGATATGTGCTAATATATGTATATATTATATAAATAACATATAAACGAAAAATAATAAATAATTTTATTTTTTGTTATCTCCGTTTGAAATTTTACATCAGAAGTTTTTTGGGGTCAATAAATCCTTTTAATCGTTTCCACCCACTCCAGAGAATCAACGCGAAAGTATTGGATCTGGAACATTAAATTAAAATTGTCAAAAATAATGAAAATATATACTCCCCAGTTCATATAAATCAAATTTTGGGTGATATTCTGATAGTGACGTGTAGGTCTTTGGATGAGAAATTTAAATATTCCAAGGTAATTCTATTAAAATCGAGTAAAATTAGTTTTATTGGATCTAGAGTTTTATCAGTTGACCAGTATGATTAATAGAGATGAAATAATCAACTATATTATATCAAATTTTTACTGCTATACCTACCTACCTTAACACTTAGACTGCCGCCATAGTGAAAAAAAGAGGGTCCTTCCAGCCGGACATATTTCTATCCCATATAAATAACATACAAGCGAGAATCAAAAGCTGATTCTCGCGGCAACAGAATCAAATTGGCCGTGCATCATGGCATGCTTCTCATGGCAGTCAAAGTGTTAAAGCTACCTACCTACTATAATACCTCCATTTCTTCGGCCACAACTCTTCACCAGTGTGTCATTATAGCTGAAGTTAAGCTAAATCACGTTAATCCTTATTTGCCCCAAACTTCCGATCTCAACGGCATTGAGCATACTTAGGATCAATTGAGGGCATTAGATACAGACGAACGCACCCTCCAGCAGCAGTTATTCGAGGTGTGCTTAAATATTTAGAGAATTGTGCGTGAGCTCCAATAACTTATTATGCAAAGCAGTTATTGGAGTTCGTAGAGGAAAGATTGCTTAATTAAAAGATTACTGACTGATTTATAAAATGAATCAGATGTATACAAGTAATTTTCAGTTTTTGCATATGGTTTGTTATGTCGAGCTTTCGACACCCTATCTGGAGTCTTCATTAGGACTTTCGAGGTCTGCGGGTCCTGAGTAGTCACTGTATTACTACTGCGTTTACTCGGGTATAATGCAGTTCGGAAGTTTTTTAATAGTATGTAAATAGTAATTAGCTATTGCAATATTATTGCTCATCTAATCCTGGTTTTGTAGTATATACCATCTTCTTCTCCTTTTCAATACCTTATCGTAGACGAGCTACTTATCTCAAATAAAAATTCTAATGTTAAGCACTTTACCTGGTAAATGTTTTATTTTTTACACGATTTAAAATTGGATTGACTATAAAATTATCTAAACACAAATATGATGCCTTAAAACAATAAATATACTATACAATTTATTAGATTTCTTAAATTATTATTTATTCTACAATGAATAATTGTAATGATGATTACGATGAACACTTCCACTGGAAGAATCTGAAAAAAAATTATACGTATTAAAATCTAAATGAAACTTAAATATCATTCATAACAAAGATAAATGAATAAACACAAAAATGTATTAATGATGCCATAACGCAGCGCCGTTAAGATTAGGCAAAATGCCTTCACTCCCAGAATTAATTTTTTTCAATTGTTCCGTTCTAATGACCAAAAAAAAATTTTTACATCCTTTATTTATTGTAATATGTTTATACGAATAAAAAAAACAATAATCAATAAGTTTATCACGTAATTAACACAGGGGAGATCCGTCCAGTGACAAAATTCCTTTTGAGATAAATTTCTAATACATATAAATATTTGAAATATAAATAACAATTTACAAAACATATTAAAAAATAGCAACAGGTAAAATACACACACACAGTTAGGTAAAAAATAAAAAAGTAAATTATGCTTTCTTATTTTTCTCTTTTCAATGATTAAGATTTTTATATGATTGTATTATATGTCTATGCCTAAAATCTTAATGTATTTATGCTGCATATTTTTATAACCTATAAATGTTATTTTAATGCAATAAAGTGGGAAAAAAACTCAAATATAAAATATTTTACTAAATCATTGAGAAAAAGGCACATTTTGATAGTAATATTTATACAAATCCCATGACTTTTCTGAAAAAATTCCCATGTTTCGTAGTCACATTTTTTGAAACGCGCTGTTTAATAGTGTTTAAAGGTGAGGAAAGAGGGAAACATTCAGCAGAATCCCCAAAAACACTCCGGCTTTTGTCCGACTTTTTTGAAAACCCACTGAAAACCGAAAGCATTACTTACGATATTTCATATGTGTATTCACCTTCACCTAAATTATTGGAATATCACGTTTATTTTCACCACTTAAATATATATTTTTTAACATCTAAGTTCGTACAGATTCTTAATAAATTATTGGAGAAGCTACAATTTCTTATGTTTTTAGGAAAATTATATGGAAATATCTGTTGAATCCAAACATAAATATTATTGTCATTTAAACGTTTGGTCTCGCTCTAGCTTTGTTTAAAAGGCGTGCAAATAAATATTTTATGATTTTAACTGGCCTGGGGCACGATATAATATTTTAAAATTCTAATACTCCTGGTATGTTGCACGTAATTCTTAATTCAATATTTAGTATTTAAATTCTTCAATCATTCAAAGGAACGCATTCAGCCGACCGGTCTCCATCGCGAGTGAGGAACGACCGAGAACCGAAAGTAATGGTGGTAATGAGGGTATTGGCTCTGAGATTTTGTTTTGGTTCGATCGGCGCCGCACATACGTTGATTTTAAATAATTAGCCGGCCAAAAGTCAAATTTCAAAAGTGACGTAAAAAATTTAAGAAATATCCTAGAGATACGTGATGATTTGAATTAACAAAAAATAACTGTCCCAACTCTAGAACTGTTTACCATGTGCGTGCGCAGACGCAGGCGCGCGGTAGGTAGCTTGTCAATAACGTTTTGTTGTCTACGCCTATTAGTAATAGACTTTTCATATATCGTGATATTTTGTGATATTCAGCTTATTTTTTAAAGTGATTATGATGGAATCAAATAATTCAGGTAAGAATGCATATTTCTTGAAATATGTAAAGAATGTTTACTGTTATCTTATATTATTTTTTCAAAATCAAAGGCAATCTGTTTTGTAGTAAAACTTTTGTTTACTTTTTATGTTTATAAGACATTAAGTTATATTATCGCCGCAGATCCAGCAATGCTGTTTATTTTATAGTATATTGCATATATTTGGCTAATTAATGCCGTACTATTTAGCTGCGGATGACCGAAATACAGGGGTTTTTGTTTATTTTGTTTTATTGATGACGTCACACAAATAAAAGTACTTAATTGTATTCACTGTAACAAGTTACGATTTTCTTTGTTTTAGCTACATCTGGGCCGTAAATATCTTTACTACCAAATGAAGCTTCAAGATTTGTCTAATTTAGATGATAAACTGAGATATTTAGAAAATTACTTACTGACCTGTTATGGTGACACATCTGACAATTTAACCAGTTTAAAGCGAAGATTTCGGCATTTTAAAACGGCCATGAAAGAGAAATGGTTAAAGGCCCACCGAAAAGAGGTTATATTTTTACAAACAAATAGAGTTTGGTTAGATGGAACATTTATACTTGTAGAAAACGAAAAAATGCGATCAGGTCGGCCATCTAAATCATTTAATGACTCCAGTGAAAGAACGAAAAGGAGAAAAACAGAAGAAATACGTTCTTCGCTTGATGGAGAAGTTATCGTTCATGCAGCCCAATCAACATTACAGGCTCGAGGAAAAAGAAATGCTTCAAAAATATTAAAAGATATTACAAACTCTCCAACTCGTGCAAATAAATATAGAGATGCGTTCAGGAAAATAAATAAAGAAAACATTACTGCTCTTACACCGTTGCAAGCCCTAGCAATGTTTGTTGAAGCTGATTTAACCAAGCGACAGTATGAAATCATTAGAAATACAAATAAATCTTTTTATCCTTCTTATGACTTACTGTTAAAGGAAAAAAAACAATGTTACCCGCCAACGGATTGCATAAAGGTATCAAGTACTTGCGCAGAAAGCAGTTTACAAAGTTTAATAGATAACACCGATTACCGCTTATCAGTGGGGTTAGAAGAAATCCTTTGTTCTCTAAATGACAATGAAAGGAAGTATTTAAAAATTATTTGTAAATGGGGTTGTGACTGATCTCAACAAGCCAGATACAAACAGAAATTTGACGATGACGCTGCTACGGATGCGCATATATTCTTATCTTCTTTTGTTCCACTTCGAATAGTATGTGGCAAAAAAGGTAAAAAAGTAATTTGGCAAAACCCAATACCGTCCTCGCCTAGATATTGTAGACCTATACGATTTAGCTTTGTGAAATAAACAGTTGATGTAACGAACGAGGAGATCAGTTACGTTGAAGAATCTGCCAAAAACTTAACACATACTGAAGTTGTTTTGAACGGTAACACATTCATGTTTGATCATGTTTTTAAGATGACCATGATTGATGGCAACGTTTGTAATGCTGCAACTAATACAAAATCTACAAGTCGGTGTTATATATGCGGAGCGACATCTAAAGACTTTAACAATCTGAATAAAAAATTAAGTACAAGTTCTAAGGCTATTGAATTCGTCTGAATGAATCTCTCGGTATTACATGCTAGAATCCGAATGCTTGAAAGCGTTTTACATTTGGCATACAAATTACCAATATAAAAGTATGGAGAAAAGAGAACTGATGAAGAAAAGAAGATAGAAGTGCTCACAAAAAAATATATCCAGGAAAGATTTAGAAAAGAAACTGGATTGTTAATCGACATGCCAAAAGCCAATTTCGGGAACACTAATGACGGCAATACTAGCCGAAGATTTTTTGAAAATCCTCAACTAGCTGCCGATATAACAAAAGTTAATTTTAAATTGATGAGGGAGGAATGCAACCTTGATATATTCAACAGACTTCTTCTAACTTCTGATCCATTATTAACCATTTAATCAGCAAGAAACGTGTACAGAAAAGAGTCAAACCAGGCTCATTTTGCCCTGAAACAATTCAAATGCTTTTACCAGGTGACCCAAATACTGAGTCCGATATGTCAGACACTGATATGTGAGGTAAAACAAAAACTAATATATTTTTTGTTCATTTTAAAATTTGATTTTGATTTTTTCCATGAAAAGTAAATGCCAATATTTAAAAAAAAAACAATATTTCCGTTAATTTGTATCATTTTGAGTAGAACTATGCGGTAAAATAATTTTGGCCGCGTAAATTCATTAAATCGACGTATGTGCGCCGTCGGCGGTCGATCAATCGATTTTTGTCATTGCACGATCGGATCGTTATGAACTAGCGGGATTCGGTCGTTCAATACTTTGAAGTGATTAAATCAAAACGAACGAATCAATAGCCATTGATACAACACTAGCCCAAATCGCTAGAAACACAGAGTCATAATATGCATCAAATAGAAACAAGCATTGCCATGACTGAAGTAAATGTTTAATGTATGTTGAAGTTGTATGGAACAAATTGACCCAAGACTAAATCTTATCACTACTGTGTCTCGGTGTTGCTGAATTTACCACGTACATATACTAACCTATGGTCAATTGAAAAAGATGTATTACAAATATTACAGTTTTAAAGGTTTAAGATTTTACTTAAACTTTACCTGGTGCTCCTAAGATATTTGCTAAAAGAGGAGGAGGTTTTGTTGGCGGCAAAGGCGGCACGGGGTACTGCGCGTACGAATGAACTTGCAAGGGCGAATCAGCCAAAGTAGGTTGAGGCATCATTAGCATATTAACGGGTGGCGTCCTAAACATAGTGTTTTGATTGACGACATTTGAAACGTAAGGCGGGTGGTTAACGATTGGCGGTGCCTTAATACGAGGAGGAAATATATGAGGTGGCGGTGATCCGGGTGGCGGAGACGGTGGAGGTAAGTTATCTTCATCGTTTTCTTCGTTTTGATCAGTCGGTTTAATTATTTTTACCTGAAAATGAAATTTCCTTTAGAATGTATCACAACATAATAAAAGTAAAACAAATATGTACCGATATATGTCATATCGACACAAAAAACGTAATTAGAGGAAGTTGTGCAATAAAACATTCGTTGGTTTTTACAACAATGATTGAAACATAATCGTCCTGGCAGAAGTCTCGTTCATAGGGCTAATTTAAAAATTATTGAAATTATATTACACATTAGCAGAGTTTATAAGTCGTCCAATTCGGGACTGTTTGTTGTGGATGTTTTGTTTGGATTTGTGACAGACATTATCTTAAACGTAGCTTCATATTAATCACTGATGATCTTCCTTGAGTATGTCTGTCTTCTCAGATACCGCCTGTCACTAAAACACCCTAACTCTCCACAAACTACGGATGACATCACTAACAACTTCTTTGCACTTGCGAGTATAATTCATTTAAGCTGACATATAACTTTTACCTCCATTTAAATCTAAGCACTTAACTAAACGTCCAGGTACACACGAAACTAGGTCAAGGTCATACTTTTCGGTAATGGTGTTTCAGGCCTGTAAAACTGACTGAATCAAACCTTCTTTATTTCGTAGCGCTACTCGTTCCACTTCAATGTTCATCAGTCCCCATATGTTTTCAATGGGGATAAGATCTGGAGATGCTGCTGGCCACGTAATTGTTGCCAATTCGTGTTCTTGCATCCAAGCTTGAGTATAAGCAGAAGTATGGCATCTTGCATTATCTTGCTAAAAACGCCACCCCTCTGGATATAAAACATGAGTTTCAACGTTTCACGTTTCAAGAAGAGAACCATTTAGGATGTCACAATATTTCCACTATCTACAGTACCAGTAACTATACAGAGAGGTGTAGCACCACGCTGAGATATCGTTCCCCAAACCATTATTTTAGTGGTAAATTTGGAAATTTGAACGGTAACATTTTCTCTTGATGGGACTTTTAGATTTGCACCAAGCTGGAAGCAACTTTCATCAGATATAAAGACATTATTAAAATTATCTTCTCGAAAACGTTGACAAAAATATATTCTTCGTTGCCTTTGCACAAGTGTCATTGTAGGGAATTTTTTTGGATTCCTTGATATGTAGCCTTGCTTTTTCAGTGACATGCGGACAGTTTCTGTGCACACTTTTATTCTTCGTTGATTTCCAAATCTGTTCGCTAATTTTCGAAATCCTAGGCGCATATTTTGTCGTCCTAAGTCACTAAAGCATTTAAATTGTTTCCGCGAATCTTACGCGGTCTACCCGAAAATGGTCTATGTCTCATATCTAGGCCATTTTTTATCCTCTTTATTGCCTCATACACTGCACCACTTTTCTTTTTTCTACTTGCGACATTATTTCCCAAATTCTGTTTACAAACAACAATATTTGACAGATGGTTTTGTCATACGATTTTGTCCATAACCTACTATCGGCACAACCTACTTGATGCATTACTTTTGTCTTAAAATGTCACAAAAAGGAAATCTATTAAAATTAGGAAAAATATAAAATTCCGGATACTTTCTAGACGGACTATTATAATTGTAAATAATAAATATACAAACCTTAACTTTCTTTTTATTATGTTTTAACCGCATTTTGGTTTTGGTGTATCGTTTTTCCTTTGGCAGTACTTTAGGAGACAGAGAAGATAACTCTTCTCCTGCAGAGGGCGAGGTTCCTTCACCTGGTCTAACTCCGTCTGCAAACTGGACAACTTTTCGCCTCGATCTTGATGACCTAAACAAATACATGTGACGATCATCACTTATAAAACTTGCTCGACACATTACCTTACGCCTCTCACAAGAATACTTTTATTCAACGAATCCTTGGAACTTCCTGAGAGATGGATCGGTGGCCATTGTGTTGGCAATTCACCCATCCCGGGCTCTTTGATGTCCTGACTATCTACTTCGAGCTGAAGAGCTTTCTGTAAACAGATTCAAAGCATAAAACTCATTACGAAATGTTAATGTAAGGAAGTAAGTTTTTCTCGCGACTTTTAAATAATCCAGGTATATAAAGCAAGTTTTTTTTTACGTTTTTCCTGCAGAAAATTTGGAGATGTTTTTTAGTCACTATTAATTGAAGGACTTAGAATAAAAGGGGTCCACGTGCAATTTTTTTAATATTGAGTTAAATACAGATTTGAATACCTGAAGTATAGTTTTATTAATTTTAAAATGGATTTAAGTGGTTTTATACATAGATTGTCATCTATCGGACTTTGAGAAAAGTTTAATAAATAAAAGTATAGAAACCTTTAGTTTAAAATAGATCCAAATGCAGTTGATCCCCTTATATTCCAACTTGAAGTTAGTCAGTATTATACTACTACTTACAAAAAGTAACGTATATTATCACCTTCGATATTTATGGCTTAAATTGTGTATAAAACGATAGAAAAAGTTTTAAAAAATAATTTAAAATGCATTATAGCTGTGACAGTAAAGGTAAGTCGGCCAAATTTCCAAAATGTATAAGTCATTATTCAAGGAATTTAAATTTGAACACAAGATACTTGGCACCGGATTTGAACAAAATGTGCCAGTTATCAACAATGTAAGGAACTACATGAGGATCCAGTGAAACTCTCATATTATAGACACATTTTTAACACGGAATTTAACCTAAGATTTCACATGCCAAACTCAGATACATGTAGTAAAAGTGACGCTCATAGAAATATAGAATATTTAGCAGATGCAGAAAGAGTAAAATAACCAAATTTGATCCAGAGCTTCATCAACAGAAAGCAAATATGTCTGAAACAATGAAAAACAAAAAAGTGAAAAATATAAAGCATTTGTAGAGTCGAACGTAATCTGTTTTGATCTCCAACAAACCCTTCACATTCGCTTAATAACTACTTCCAAAGGGTTTTATTTGCGACAGCTTTGGACGTATAATTTTTGTGTTCCCAATGTAACCACAGAAAGATCAGAAATATACATCTGGGACGAATCCATTTCAAGTATACATTCCAAAAATTGGTTCGAGCCTCATTAATTTTATTAAAAACATACTCTCTAAAGGTGTTACCAAGATCATCGCATATAGCGATTGCTGCGGTAGGCAGAACAAATATAAAAACGTTATAAAGCTGTTTATGTTCCTTTTTAAATTTACTCATATTCAAGAGATTCACCAACAGTTTTTCGAACCAGGTCATACATTTATGGAGTGCGATAAGGATTTTGATATAATGAAAAAAGTAGAGCGTAAGAATTCACAGGTATTTATTCCAAAGCACTGGGCCCAGCTAATTAAATCAGCTTGCAAAAAGTCTAATGTACACCAAATGAATCAAGACAACATTTTTGTTTTCTTTTAAGGAAACAGTAAATGAAGAGTTTTTATTTTTTACATGTATATGTATAAAAATGGAGCTGGACGTCCTACTGTTATCATGGAGAACATATTTTAAGAAAATCTTAACGCTCAGCCGATAAAAAACAATAAATTGAAATGCTACGATATTCAAAAACTTCTTGATTATACTCCACCGGTTTACCACAAGTTGTACAACAACCGTCCCCATGAACACAAGAAAAAATTAAAAACTAATACCGTCAACGAAGTGTCAGGAGAAGGATTTCAAGCAACTCAGTTTGGCGAAGACTGTAGTCACTTGTAGTACCGATACAAATCTTTTGATGTCGCTATACTCTGCAGTTTAGGTTTAGAACAAAACTAAAAATTATAATTGTCAATTGCTAATTGTCAGTAATTGATTAGCATGGTTATTATGCATTTATAATTATTGTTTGATTTGATAGTTATTATTGCAAATTGCAAATAAATCAAACTAATTTTGGTTTAATATCCCGAGGTTATTGCTGGCATTAACCTCAAATCAGTTTTTAAATTACAAATCACCTACCTCAGTAGTCTCTGTTTTAAATGTTCCTGGCGTTCAAATAGTGGTTTACAGATTAATAATAATTATAGTTAAATATGAACTTTCACAATAAATGTCGTATCGTTCAATGTACGAATTCGTCAACAATTAGACATGCCTTTCCAAATCCTGATAAAGATATACGATTTAGGAATTGACTTAGTTATAAAAAATCCTAATTTAGATATGATGAATTCCACTACAGTTTTTAAAACAAAACGAATATGTCAGGCACTTTGAAGATAAGTTTGCTTCTTCATGGAGTTATAGATTGTATCCAAATTAAATTCTCGAGAACAAATAACTGATTGGACTTTAGATTCCTCTTCTAATGTACATCCCAGAAGTATTTCAATGTTGTGTGCGGAAGCAAATGTAACAGAAAGTAAGTAACCCTGATATGTAATTAATAAAACTTATTTTGCTTGAAGTGAATCATGGTATAAATTATTATATTAACTTTTTGTTTTAGTTGAAAGTCCTTCGACAAGTAGAGATGCACAATCTACACACATGTTTCAATCATTTGAGATACCCCATTGTAGTAACTATACGTTTATTTGCCTCCGTGTCGTAGACCAGCTGGGCTAAAAACTATAAATAGGAGCTTGCCTGTGTTCATAATCTCCCATTTCTAAAATCTAACAAAGATATATGAAGGTACTGAAACATTCTAGTACTTACAATAAATTGTTTAATACTCACATCAAAAAACAGTGTACTAATTCTCTTACTCAGTAATGCCACTACACGAAGGTTAATATAATGAATATATTTTGCCTTGTAAAGATTGAATAAAGAAATTAACATCACATTTACTTTTAGGTGTTTCCCTTAAGAATATCACACTGCTGAAAATATTGCAGCAGTGTAAGATTTCAAGAAGTACAGTTTTATTACCTCTAAAAACAAAAAAATATATGGAGCATTAAAACAACTACACCATAAATATTCATTGGAAAAAAAATAGTAAAAAGTCTTGTAAACGCAGACTGTTTGAAGCTAAAAAGTTTTATAAAGAAAATAAATTGGTTGATCTTCAGAACATTAATAGAATGACAGCTAGGCTAATTCAAATTCAGTACAGAGAAAGCTGTAAAGCAAAAAAGCTAAGACGATTATATACTCTAATACTCTCAATGAGGAATTTAGCTTTGTCTTTATAAAAACGTTCGACAACAAAGAGCAAGTGCTCGTTGATATAGTATTCTTTCCAATCTATTTATCTTACCCAGTAAGTCATCACTAAACAGACATCTGCTTAAAACTATTATGATTCCAAGACCCCAATTAACATTAACTAAAAGCAACAATATCAAAAATGGAAGGAATGGATAAGCATAAAGTTATATTATTTGATGAAATGTTGGTTAAAGTTAAAGTCTTCATTACAATGAGCATCATAGATGTATAACTGTATATACGGCTTTGAAGGCATGGGTGATGACAGAGATTCATATATAACAGATGATGTTCCAGTTTTTATGGTAAGAGGTCTAAGACAACCGTGGAAATCACCTATTTCATACCAATTTTGTAGCAGAGGTGGTGTAAAAACCCCTCAAATTAAAAACATGTTGGTGGAAGTCATTTCTAATTTCTTAGAAGCCTCAGTCTGCTATGTAATAATATCTGTTTCGAAGGAAATCATTTTAGCATCTTCCAAAATAACATATTTTTCTTTGTTCGAGTCTCATCTTCGATATGGTCTTTTTTTTGGAGTTATAGAACAGCTGCCCCAATCTGATATTGTTTTTTAAATTTCAAAAAAGAACAGTGTTTGCTTCATCCGTAAACACCTACATGTTTTTCCAGCAAAACCTTATCATGACTACTCCACCAGAAATTCAACCTTTGATTTGTATTTACTGAAGAAATCTATAATTATATTCAGCAACAAAATTATACAAGCAACTCCATTTGCAACTTAAATCTACAACTTCTTTCCTTAAGTTCCGTAAAAGGACAAAAACCTATCTATCTGAAAGACCATATTATTCAGTAGAAGAGTTTCTGAACGAATAGATTTATGTACAAGTAACTAATTATCTTTTATTTTGTGATATTGACGATTTTTGTAATTTCAGTAAATTTTAAATTGCTGTTATTTTTCTCACTTTTTGTAAGCTTTGTCCATAAAATTGTACAATTTTCAGTGGTAATAAAGCATATTTATATTGTATTCTACATTTGTATACAAAGTTGTTTATTAAATAAATAAACAAATTACATTTTGTCTTATGTTTTCATAAATGATACTGTGTATATTTGAATTTAAAAATAATTTGCAAATTTTAAACTTTCAAATGCAATTGTTTTTTCAAATATACCAAATTATATTTAAATATTTTAAGCTTTATTTAAATTTTTCCACTAAAATTAAATTTTGAAATGCCCGCGTAACTTTCCGCTTGAATTAGTTCCGATGCAAATCTCTTGAAGCGCTAAATTTCATATCCAACTAAAGTATTGTCATGAAGCATCTTGGAATATATATCATAATAGTCTATCATGAGTATATACCATGCTATTTTTTTTAGTCCTTCTACTTCTTATGTTGCTTTCATTTTATATGCTTGCCGGATTATTAATAAAAAAATACTATTGTTATTTTATATATTAAAAGTAACAATTACCTTTATCATATTTTCCGTTTTTTGCTTCATTTTAATCTGCCTCCGCTTCTCCTTTTCTCTTCTTCTATTTTCTTTCTCTTGCCTCCTCTCCTCCCTTTCTTTTCTTCTCTTCTCCCTCTCCGTTCTGCTTTCCTCGATCTTCTGTTTCATTTTCGTTTCCGCAGATGGTTTTTCCGTTGGAACAGGAGGCGAAGGTTTAATATAAATTTCTGCCTTTTTCGGAGAAGGAGGAAGTGGTGGTAAATCGGGCAGTTCTTCGGCGGGAACAATTTGCAGCATATTACCTACCTAAAAAATATAAATTTAGAAATTAAAATATAGAAGTTCGAATAGAAAATTTACTTTATATACTATATTCTAACAGAATTATTATTAGATGAGATCCAAATTCCCACAATAATTCTTTTTAGAAATGTTTCAAAACCTCATGGACCTCCTCGTAAATACGAATGCCCGAAAAAATAAATGGATCCTAGAAACATGCACCATTTTAATTTCATCGGAATAGGCGACTGGGTAGGATTTGCACGTGCTAATAATATCGAGTATTTTCAATAAACATGACATATTATGTTTCCTTAATCTTAAACATTCCACTTAGTCATCGCATTTTTATTTTATCCCACATTGAAAGATGTAATAAAAATTTACGACTTCCCGTCATCGGTCACTGCCGATAAGAATTGCTGTGTAAAAATGTAAAATAATTATATTGTACTTTGTACTAATATGGCTTAAATAAACAGAGGACAAATAAATAAATAAAAAATCAATGTATGATAGAAAAATAAAAGGATTTTGGTTTTAAATTCAGCAAAATATGTTTATACGAGACGAAAACCTCGAATTCCTTAGGAAAAATATTCCCATGAGATTTTTTGCATAATCACTTTCATAAAATACCGCAGAATAATGTTCAAGAGGTCGCCCATACAAAAAGTGGTCTTATTTTATTACCTAATTCCACAATAATGTGTGGGATTGCATAGACACCAAAAAACGAGGTGAATACCTATTAGTAGATTTAAGCAAATATATAAATTGAATATTTTGCATATAATGCATAAAAAATGCAAAAATGTCAAATTTTTCATATTTTTATAAAAGTGAGCATAAAGTGCATTTAATTTAATAATTTGGCGTTAACTATATATTTTTTTATTCAAACTTACAGATAGCACAAAAATGCTAATATTTAATTTTAGTTTATAATCACTTGGTATTCAAATTCTTGGTATAGTAACTAATAAAAGACAACGGCTTATTTTTTGTCCTGAAATTAAGGGTTTGTGTAAACCAGTTTATGTCTCTAGGTAAAAATTTTTATTTTGACAGTTGACAGTCAGTTTCACTTGGTTTTACTTTTGTTGTTAAATTGGAGGCGTAAACAACGTGTATTTCTTATTGTAAATAATAAACAATGCAAATTGTGCTTTGGAATGACGAAAATAATCAATGTTTTTACTTGGATAAAACCTTACAGAGAGCTATCTATGAATTTGGATAAAGTTTATTGCTCATGTTGTGGCAAAACCGTAAGTACATACGCATTATTTTTTATTTTATTTTAAAAATTTACACGGTGGTGAAAAACAAAGATTTTAAAATTAGAGATTATGTTTAAGAAAAGTATGCGATCAAAAATAGGATACCTATTTAAAATTCAAATCATTCAATAGTCTATTGAAAGGTCGCTAACATTTTTTTTCTAACAATAGCATAGTTTGCTTTAATTTTGCTAAAAACAAAAACATATATTGTTACGTAAAAATTAGTCATATTAAAAAAACCTGTAAACATGTTGTTTAATTCTTATATGTTCTAGATTTGACCTATGGTAGAAATTCCAGGTAATACCTAAATTTTATGTAAACAGTCAGTTAGAGAAGAAAATCGCGAACGGGTGTTTAAATGTAGACACGACAGAGAATTAGCTTCTACCGGAAAAAAGGCTGAGTTAGTCCAACGACTAAAGAACGCTTTGGAGCAAGAGGGTTTAGATCCGAAAACTTATATATTTGAAGATGCTGTCATCTCGTCGATTTCGAAATTAGAGAACAAAGTTTATGGTTATATCGCATCATTAGAGAACAAAGTTTCCAGCGACATCGCTTCTTTAGAAAGCAAAGTTTCTGCTAACATCTCCTTGGAAATCTCTAAATTCACTTCTGAGATGTCTGCTCTCGACGATAGAGTCTCTTCGTTAAAAAACCAAGTTGCTGCCGATATGTTGCCCTTTGAAGAAAAGATAAACGCAATGGAAAGGAGGATTGAGGAAACAGGGACAGCAGAGAGAGGAAACAATCCAATTACAGCAGAGACAAAAGAAGACGAGACGAAATGTAAGTTGGAAACACGGCCGAAATTTGAAGGAAGTGGAGGTTCTGTTCATGTCAAAGTCCCCACTTTCGACGGAATATCGTCAAGGAACAACTACATGAAACAGTTCAAATTAGCTGCAAGAGCGAATGGATGGTCTGAAAAAGAAAAGGCCGTAAACTTGACTATCGCTCTTCAAGGAGATGCCTTAGATGTACTCCAGACCATAGCCGTAGAGGAGACGGATGATTTCGAACAACTCAAGAAGAGGTTAAATATGCGATATGGCCACGAACACCTGGAGCATGTATATCAGTTGCAGCTTAAAAATCTAAGACAAAAGAAAGATGAGGCTCTTCAAGAATATGAGGTAGATATTGCTAGATTAGTACGATATGCTCATCCAACAGCTCCCGAAGACATGACGGAAAAGTTGGCCGTTCAATCGTTTATTGATGGTCTTCGTGATCATGAAATGCAGAGAACACTGCGATTAGCTCGTCATAAGACGCTGGTTGATGTCTTATCCGCCGCCCTCGAATACGAGTCAGCTACGCAGGCCTCTGGCGGGTACAGTAAAGTAAAAAATATTGAACCTTTAGTAGAATTAAAATAAAAACAATAAATTAGAATTAATAAAGACGTTATAATATATTGGACTTGATTAATTAAGTGTTTTTAACGTATGCTTACAGTATTTTTTCATTAAATGTAAACAGAAAAGACCAAGAGCCTCTCGTAAATATATTGGGGTGTTCTCCCTTCTTGCACAGTCATTTCTAGACATTTTCAAGAATACTGCACCGATTTTTATTTGATTAAATTTAAATATTTTAATTGTTGTGTAAAAACGGTTCATTTTTAGTTTATTCCTACAATCTTAGATTTTAAAACTGAGTACAACTATAGAATATTTATATTCTTTTTTAGATTTCATCTGAAAAAAATTTCAAATAGATCAGCATGTCAGAACCGCGAAACATTTAGCTAAAAAAAGTAAAAACCACATCCGGTGAAAAATATAAACTTTCAGTGTCCAAGTTCTTTTAGTCAAGATCAAAAAACAAACCGAACAAGAAACTTTTAACGAAGTCTCGTGTCGTGCATAAACAAAACATTCCCAGTGAACGAAGCCTACAGAGAAATAATGGCAATTTGTTATGTTCCTCAGTTATCCACAACATAAAAGCAGAAATAGGTAATAATTACTTTTACATATGTGTGGACGAGACCACTGACTTGTCAGGAAGATACATTGTGCACTTATTGTTTGGTGTACTTCTATTAGCGATAAAACCTTTCCAAAATCGTATTTAATTTTCTGAGAGCAAGTGGAAAAAACCAACGCTCTAACAATATCACGGTTTCTACAAGAAGCATTAGCAAACTTTTTTCTTCCTGCTGCTGTGCTAATGATAAATTATTGCTTATTTTATCTGATGCGCCACCATATATGGTAAAAACGGGACAAAATTTAAAAATATTTTATCCAAACTGAATACATGTCACTTGTTCAGCGTATGGAATAAAAAGAGTTGCGGAGGAAGTAAGAAAAAAAATTTCCACTAGTTAACAGTTTAATAGCGAGCGTCAAAAAGGTATTCCTGAAATCACCTGTAAGAATACAACGTTACAGAAATATGCTTCTTGCTGTTCCACTGTCACCGCAACACATTTTAACATGTTGGGGAACATGGTTGGAAGCAGCTTATTTCTATGCTGATCATTTTGTTGATTTAAAAAAATAATTAACCTTTTACATGATGATAGTTGAAAATCTTTATTGGAAGCTAAGCAAGCCTCAATTAGAATCCTCCACACAGTGTTAGAGAGTTTAAAAAAAAGAATTTGAGCCATTGTATCAAAACGTTAGAGGTACTATTGGAAAGGAAATTTCTCAAAGATTTAAAGTAAGCATGGAAAAAAATAGTGGTTACCAGGTTCTTTCTGCGAGATCCTGCGAGAGATGTATGATCATTTAAAGGCATTTCGTGAGGAAAACCGCTGGTTTGTCTCCTACTTCTTATGAATGTCCAAAAACTATTGTATAGTATATATGTTATCTCAATAATATTTTGATGCTGCATAAATTCATTTTTGATTTGCTTTTTAATAGTATTTCTAAGCCTCTTGAATTTATTGTTATCGATAGCACTAGCTTTCCTTATTTTTATATGTTTGCTTAATTTGTTTTTTTGTCTGATTTTTTTAAATAAGGTCTATACTAAAATAAGCTGGATATTTCTGTTTTGTATATTTTTAATAATTTTCTTCGGGATGGCTTGATCAATGCAGTCATACAATTTATCGTAAAATTAATTAATACAATCTGTAGCAGTTATACAATTATACATATCTGACCAGTCAGTGTCTATTATTAATTGACAGTGTCGAAAGAAGTTTTTCTATTTACAAATATATTCAGATAGAAGTTTTTATTAGAAAATTTTGAACATCATTTTGATAATCTATTGTTACCACAATTCAAAATAATATTGTAAATATTTTTTATTACATGCATATTTTCTAGATAAATATACATATTTTGCATAAAATACTGCATATTTTTGCATAAAATACTGCATATTTATGCGCATATTTCATACTTTTTTATTTGCATATTTGCCTAAGTCTACTTATTAGAATATTATTTGTCTTTTTGTAAAATAATATAATAACTGATGGATAATTTATTCAGTCATATTTTCTACGAAAAAAAAAACTATATTACCTGCAAAATTTGAGATTTAATCTCAGGCCTAATATTACTAATGACATCAGTCTTCATTTCCATCTCTGTAGGAACGATTTCAACCATATTTCCAATCTGGACGAAATTGTTCAGTTTAGTAGTTGCCGCCTGTGACTTCACTGGAGTAGAAAACGAGGAACTTTGGGAGAATTGGTTTTGATAAAAATTGTCGTAAGTTGTACTTATTGGCCTAAATTCTTCTTTGCTCATAGCGAGTTTTACCTGAATGTTGTTATCCGAAAGTGTTTTCCTCATTTCCGCTTGCTTTAGTCGATCGAAATAAAGAGGAATCGGTGATTGTGTATATTCCTCCACGCTGGGTTGTGGCAGGAGAGAGTCATCTGGAAATAAAAAAATATGAAATATAAGGCTTCTACAACCAGAATTAAGTAATCCGAATGTGTTTAACATTGCATCTCTATGAGCTTTCTTTACAATATCTTTTGACTTAAGAATTTACATATCCTTTTAAATTGACCAAATATAACAGTTTTAGATAACATTTTTATTCTTTTTTTTTATTTCATGGCATATATATTTTATTTTGACCACCTCTCACACTCCACAACCTCCATCGTCACAATCTTTGTTGGATTCTCAACTTCAACAAACTTCACCCCCTCAAATTTTCGAACTACTACCTTCAGGAAGTTCAAAGTAAACTAATGATAATCCCCTAAACAACACGATATTCTCTCTAAAACAGAATCAAACTCCGCAAACACACTACTTTAAAATGTAAACGATGATACTTCCTCCAGCTCAAAAAGTAATGCAAACGAAATGCTCTCCCCTGAAAACGATTCTAATAAAGCTCTAAGTATGTTGTTAGTACCTAAAATTCCAAAAACAAAACGAAGTCACTCCCCCACTGACCAAGAATAAAATCAACATTCCATATCAAATCTCTAACTCTTGACTATTTTTGACCTTTTTCGCTAACTTTCTCACAACTTTGTATATTTCTTGACAGTGTGGTAGGTTTTGCAGATCCTAGAGCCACTGACCAAGAATATACAAATGATTTGTTACCCCTAACTGATATGCTAAGCCAAATCTATTCGCTCTTAGAAAAATCTCTAAAAATAAGAATGACCAAACTTAACAAAAAAATCCTCAATTATATCAGTGATAAAATAGTTTCAGATACCGAAAGTGATATAACACAAACATAATTTCGAGTCTTTCAACAGCAGATTTCTTTTTCAAGAAAAGAGAACAGCTGGAAACTGAGTAGAGGTACTTCTCCGTATGTAGAGGTCTTCTCTCCGGCTCTGGAACTCACTTCAGCCATGTATGTTACCTGAAGTCATATTTAATTTAATACTGAACATCACAGTTTTTTTTAACAACATGATGTATAATCTTTTACAACTATATGTAATTTAAAGGGTTTTTACCCATGTATTTTGGTGGCTCAGGCATTTGAACCTAGCAATTTTAAAATTTAAACCTGATGATGGACTGTTTAGTTCGAAAACGTTTGTTTTTTTTATGTAGCCCTTGATGAAGGGTTTTTAAATAAATATACCCACTTACGAAGACTAACCTCTTTTTTGTGATACGTGGTATACAGCCAGCTACAGGAATTGTTTTCCTTGTGGATTTCTTTAAACAATAAAGGATTCCCCAAACCGACGCGAAACTTTCGCAGCGAAATCGCGGTGAATCGTAAGGCACGGCGACTTAATGCATGTGTTCAGACAAGTTCGGACGGAAACCGGAACGGTCGCGGTAGAACAGCGTTGACGTTTCATGAAACGCTGCATGCACGGTTTTTTCCGCTGCAGTTATAGCAAGTTATAGTTTCGCGTGAATTATTAAAATGGCTGTTACAGAAAAACTAATTGAAATTGTGAAACAATATTATATAATTTATGATTTAAGTGACGAAGATTATAAAAATATAAGAAAAAAGGATAAAGTTCCCCATTCTAAGAATACATATACACCCAAATGGAAAATCGAGCCAGCAGACTGGGAAAGCTTCTCACATCACATTGAAGCTGCTCTATTAAACTGTAACATAACAGAAAGTACTGACAGATCACTAGAGGACTTTAACCAGATCATTCTGAAAAGTGCAGAAAAATTCATCAGCAAAACAAAGAAAATCAGAAATAGAGACTGTGAAAAGACATTAAAGGAAAGCAAAGCAGCATTAAATAAATATAGAAAATACAAAACATCCGAAAATAAAATGAAGTTCAAGAGATTAAAAGCCAAGCCAAAGCCCAAATGATAGTAAAAACATCTAAAAAGCTTCGTGGTCAAGATATATTACCAATATAAACAGTTCCACTCCGATGACGGAATTTTAGAAAAAAGTTAGACGTACGTCTAATTCTTTAACCTCAGTTACAAGCCAGAAGGTTAACGGCAACCTTATATCTTCTCCACAAGAAATTGCGAATACTCTAGCTGCTGTCTATGAAAATCACTCATCAAGTAAAAACTATGACGCCTCTTTTCCAAAAATCAAGAAAAAAGAAAAAACTACCTTGCCCCTAGTGGAACCTGAAGAATATCCCAACTGAAGCCCAATTACTTACCAAGAGCTCAACTTCTTTCTTGATCACTTAAAAAACTCTGCTGTGCTGGCCCCAGACGAGATTCTGGTCATACTTATAAAACATATTTCTTCTCTTTCAAAACATTATCTTCTCAAAGTATTCAACTTTGGCTAAATCGGCAGTTTCCAATACTCTGGACCAAATCCATAGTATTTCCCATTTTAAAACTCAACAAACCTCGTCTCGCTCCAGAGTCTTACAGACCGAGTTCTCTCATCTGTGCTACGGGTAAACTGTTGGAAAAAATAATAAAACTCTAGGCTACTGTGGACTTTAGAAAAATCATATCTTTTCATAACGGAACAAAATGGATTTCGAAAAAATCGTTCTGCCATCGACAATATGCAATTAAATAATTATGCATTGCTATAACTTTTGATCTAAAACGAGCATTTAATACATGTTGAAGATATAATATCTCAGAAAAGCTACACTCCTGGAAAATCAGAGGTCATACTTTAGCTTACATCCAAAACTTTCTAAAACAAAGAACTTTTCAAACAAAAGTAACTAACTGTTTTGGATAGGATTGGTATTCATGTTGAGGAGAATGGTACTCCTCAGGAGTCTGTAATAAGTCCCACATTATTTTTAGTTGCCATTAATGACATAATAACACATATACCCAAACCACTACAAAATCGCTTATATGCCGACGATCTAATACTCTTTATCAAAGGAACAAACACCACATATATATCCTCAGTTCTACAGACATTCTTTAAACAATTAGAAATATGGTCCCTAAACTCTGGTTTCGAATTCTTAGTCCCAAAATCGATTGGAATAATATTTTCCAAGAAAAACTTAGCAACTACACCCCATCTCTTCCTCTACAATAAAAAAATATATTCAAACCATCATTAAAAGGTATGTGGTTTGATCAAAAACTTACCTGGAAAGAACACATCTGCCATCACACTCTAATTTCTAGTAAAAAACTGAATCTATTAAAAACGTTCATATTATTTGCCTAATTTTTCCACAAAAGTATATACAAAGAAACTGCTTGTTTTTTCCTTCGTCTTTTAAGATTATTTCTCTTGTACTTATATTTTGTTATTACCATCTCAGATATTTGTACTGTGAATAAAATCCTTAGTTTTCTTTATATTGGGCTGTTTTATATATTTTTCTTTTATCATCACTTAAATTTAAACCACTACCGGACTTTTCAGGGCAGCAGTCAACAAAGTCAGAATAGCCATGTTAGTGTCCAACATCCGTAACGGATAGGCACCATAAGAAGAAGAAATTTATACGCTTCTGTTATAACTTTCGCTACAAAAAATTTCGCTTTATTTATTGGTTACCTAATAATTTTACATATGCATGTTACACCTTTTTTCGTGCCAATCTTTGTACAATCGTTTAATAATTAATTGTCTTTGATGTTTTCTTGGACATTGTTTGACTGTTTTGATCATAAGGTTTACTGTCCACCGTACTTTCTTGTATGATGGTCAGACCTTCCTCATTTCAGACCTATAGTTCCTGCATTTCTGCAGTTTAGCACCTTTGTATTGAGGTTTTCACTCACCTTCAGTCGAACATTGGGATCTTTCAGTTTTCTGACATTGTAACGATGTGCTGATCGTTCAACAGTTCGAACCGTGGGAGTGTCGGTATTCGCGTATCCATCTCCATGACGAGACGACGAAGAGGGATTCGGAGCGGCTATTTAAGGCGAGCTACTGGCGGAATTAGGTAGTCTGGTAGCTAGCACACTAGGCTCCCTGGCTCGCTGGTGTAGTGAATCTGCGAGCCAACCCGGACAGAGAGATTTCCGTATTGAGGATCGTACTCTGTTCTTAACCAAGCAGAACCCATCGGTATCGTGAATTGAACGTTACCGTCAACATGGATCTGCACAACCGAATGTTTTGACTGCGAGTGCGTTTGGAGCTTCCGCTGAATTGAGGTGGAAGCGAGTATAAGTCTGCGTGCGATCGCGTATTTCATTTCTTTGTTAGTAATAATACATTTTTTTTTCTTTTACAGACGTTCGCCGGGGAGTTCACTCTCGCAGGATCCAGACGGGGATATAGAAGACATTTTATTTTTATTTATTGTATATACGTTACAATTAATAGATTTATTTTTAGTTCAACCTGTATTTTACTGGGTCTGTCTACTCGAAAGAGCTACCCGTCACAACATCATACTTATTCATCGACTTACTTGTAACCTTCTTCATTCTGATTTTGAAATTACATACAACTGGTACATGATCAAAATTTATGTCTACCCCCGGGTATGTTTTGACAGCTGTACAGCTGTTTCTATACCTCTTATTTACTAGCATGTAATCAATCTGATTTCTTAAAATCCTTCCCACAGAATTCTGTGGAGATTTCCAGTCTTCAATGTTCTTGGATGTAGCTTAAACTAGGTGTTCATTATTACTAATTGATTTGCTTCCACAAAAATCAATGTATCTCCCCAATCGTTTCGGTTTCCTAGTCCAAATGGTCCAACTGCTGACAATGTTGATAAAGTCACCCTGTTGAAGTCTTGTTTCTTCTGTTGTAGGTGATCACATATATTAAGATTTATAAATCTCTTATTAGATCAAAAATCGAGTACGGTTCAATTGTCTACTCATCCGCGATCAAAACAATGTTAAAACCACTTGACCACATACACAAAAATGCCCTTAGAATTGCCCCTGGTGCTTTTCGCACCACTCCAATAGAAAGCTTATACAGCGAATGCGGAGTACCATCCCATTATAGAATCGAGAGTTTCAATAATGCAATTTGTTGACAGTCACACACCTACAGACGATAATAATATCATAATGAAGTAAATTAAACAAAAAAAAATACCTGAAATAGTAGAATCGGCAACGCTCCTTTTTAGTCTTTCCAAGGGCGATGATGTTTGCCGTTTCGTTTCTGCTTCTATTCTGTCGGATGTCTCCTTGATTCTAGGCGATTTTTTATTCGATCGGTCCCGAGGAGAAACACTTCTTCTAGGCGATCTTCTCCTTGGTGAAGGTGTTCTTTTCCGGTAGTTGGGAGAGTGGCTTCTTCTTGATGAATATTTTCTCCCTATAAATATTAATAATAGGTATTAATAATTTAAAAATATATTATTGCTTTATGAAGGAATATAGACTTTCTAGATCGGAGCTTAAAAGTTCACTGTTATGAAGATTTGTAGGTTTCGAACCATACTTTTTTAATAGATTTATAAATTGAACAGATACTAAATTTAGTAACAGCGAGATACAACTTTTAGAGAAAGGATTTAAACACAACTTGCCCCAACATAATAATGAGAGAACTTTAGAATATTTAGGTGTAGAATGTGAAGTAGCGTTAAACAAAACTGCCAACAATATCGAAAAAAGTATAATTGCCAAATCTATTACAGATGTGTGTAGTGAAACTAAAAATTCCTGTTACAAAGAGAATAAAACAGCAATTTCAATTAAAAATAAATCAATAGAAAACAACATTGTGTTTACAAAAGCAGACAAAGGTAACACTACTATTGCTATAGATAAAATAGAATATAATAACAAAACAATAGAATTCTTAAATAATCAAAATATTAAAACTTTACACAAAGATCCGACAGAAAAATATCAAAAACAAATTAAGCTAGCGTTAGAAAATTCAAAATCAATACTAAATCCAATAGAACAGAAATACCTCAATATTATGAACACACAACCTCCTAAATTATATTCTTTCATTAAACTACACAAACCGGATCACCCAATAAGACCTGTTGTTTCTTTTTATACAGCTCCGTCATATAAAATTTCAAAAAAACTGTTAGAGATTATTTTAGACCACACTAAATTTTCAACTAAATTTACCATAAAAAATAAAATAGAACTAGTTAATAAAATACAACATTTTCAATTACCTAACAACTCCAGATTAATTTCATTTGACGTAAAAAATATTTTTCCTAGTATCCCTCCTACAGAAACTTTTATTCTAGTAAAAAACCTTTTAGACCAAAATAGTACAAATTCAATAATTACATCTGAAATTTTACATCTTCTTGAAGTTTGCATAAACCAGGACTACTTTGAATTTAATAATAAAATATATACAAATAACAGTGCAGGACTTATAATGGGTAATCCTCTAAGCCCATTGTTATCAGATATTTTTATGGATCATCTAGAGGCAAAGATTTCAAAACATCCCGTATTCAAACAGTTTTTATATTGGTGGAGATTCGTAGACGACGTACTGGTATGTTTCACAGGAACTAACAGGCAACTCGACCAATTTTTATCATATATTAATTCACTTCATAGTCATATTGAATTTACAATAGAAACAGAACAAAATCAATCCATAAATTTTTTAGATTTAAAAATTAGCAGACTTCAAAACAAACATGACTTCTCCATATTTCATAAACCTACCCATACTGACACGACTATACACAATTCGTCATCCCATCCAACACAACATAAACTGGCAGCTTAACATAGTATGTTACATAGATTAACAGAAATTCCGATGTCAAAATACAACTTTGAGACAGAATTAAATATAATTAAACAAATAGCAGTAAACAACGGATACAACGAACAAACAATTAATAAAATGTTAAATCAAAAACTACACAAGAAAGCCCTGAAATTAGTGTTTCCACCACCAGAAAAACAACCCAGTACCTTCTGCTCGATTACATATACAGGCAAAATAACAACAAAAATTGCCAAACACATAAAAAAGAAAGGAATAACACCAGCTTTCCGAACAAATAACAACCTAGGCAAATATATTAAAAATAACAAGAGCCAAAATAAAAAACACTTAAATAGTGGTGTGTACAAACTTCAATGTGGCGACTGCCCAAAAACTTACATCGGTCAAACTGGTAGAAACTTTGATAAACGAATAGCAGAACATAAAAGGGCTTTCAAGAATAGAAAAACAGATTCGACATACGCACTTCACCTTCTAGATCATAATCATTCTTTTAATGACAAATTTAAAATTCTTCACATTCAAAATAAAGGCCTTAAGCTATCTTTGTTAGAATCTATGGAAATTAACAAATTAAAAAACACAGATATAATTCTGAATGACCAACTTGAGACAAACAGTTCTCCCCTCCTCAACCTATTTCATTAGAGACTATAAATTTGTAAACCCAAGCCAAAATAGATCACTTGAGAAAGGCAATCAGCCGAAACAGCTGTAGTGATAATATTTAAAATAAATTTTGTGGAAGTTTGAAAACAAAGTTTTCAGTGTTTTATTGTTACATAAAATGAATTTCCATCAAGTAACGGTCGAATCCATCAATTATTTGTAGGTTTGTTTGTGTAGGTCCTCATCCTCGTCTGTCAAAGCCGATGAGAAAACAGACTTAGGGCCATTGTGTTGATTTCGTTACGGGAAAGATACTTTTGCGATCTGGAGGGAAGGTGAGGGCGAATTTACAAGTTTCTTAAATTTGATAAATTCCTTAAACCCTAAGGTCCATCTAGTTAACGTTGGAAACAAAGAACAACAAACCTCTTTTTACCTCCCATAACTTAACCCATCATTATTTGGACGTCTTGAAACCGATTATATTAGAATGCTATAACTATATAAGTATATAAGAGAGCTATAACCTCTTTTAGTTTGTAGACCGGACATAGCCAGTTGTGTGACTTCGTTCATCACTTAACCAAACCATCGTCTATCAATCCGGCCTAATCATACTGGTCTGTTGCTCCTTATTCTGATCCGGAAACCACAAACCAGCAGCGTGCGGCTCTTTATGAACACGTTGGTGTGCTAGATATCGCACACAGATCCACCACCTCCCCTGCAGTTACTAACGTTCGAGTTTGAAAAAATGTACTAAAAAGTGTAGACGTTTTAAAACAGACATTCACATATATATTTACCAATGGGGTCAAAAGAATAAAACCTTAAATAGATGAACGTAGAACCCTTGACAGGAAGAAGACGGTACTTGCACTCGAAGTAAAAATTCTATGCGACTATGAATATGAATGCTACCGGAAATAGCTTCGGTAATAAAATTGCGGACGTCCAACCGTGAAAGGTTAAGAATTCTATGGATTCTAGAATTCGATGAACACCAAGTCCGCGAGCTCCGATATTAAAGGTGTCATGCAAATAGTTTTCCCAAAAATAGCATTATGAAACTGATATTACTTACCAGGAGATTGCCTGCTTTTATCTCTATATCTATCGGGCGATTTTCTTCTTCTGGGAGAATAATCTTTTTTAGGCGAATAATCCCTTCGCCTCGGAGGACTGTCCCTTCGTCTATGAGAGTCTCTTCTCGGCGAAGGGCTCCTCTTTTTCGATTTATCATCATGTCTACGACTAGATCTCAAAGGACTTCTAGATCGACTGCGGTGACGTTCACTAATCGGTTCGGCAGTTTTTTTGACTTCAGGATTTATAAACTCACTGTCTTTTCGAATCGAATGTATAAACGTATCAAACTGTCCGTGGTCTAAATGTTCTTTCCTTCTTTCTAAGAGAGATTTCATTTCTTTCTTATTCTCGTCATCAGAATCTCCAAGTTTTAGGTTGGAATTGTCCATGAGTGACTTCTTGGTCGGCAAAACTAACGAAGTAAAACTAAACTGACTTTTCTTCGGAGTTCCACCTTGAGCATACTCAATTTCATTTTGGATTAATTGCGGAGTTGTGATTGTTGGTTTAGATATTAGAACATTTATCCTATTTGAAGGAGGAAGGTTCAAGGTTATTCCCTGGTCGATTTTAGCTCGGGCCTCTAGAGTTGACTGTAGTTTTTTTTCGTCTGGCATTGGTATGAAGGGTATATCTTTAGCAGATACTACAGTTTGCTGGGGAATAACTTCCGTAACATTTTGGTTCGTTTCGGGCACCTTGGTTGAATTTATGTCAATCTCGATTGAAGACAGGCGGTGAACGTTAAGTGCTTCAGTAGTTTTCGAACTCACAGCCTTCATAAACTCTTCATATTCGTTTTCTAACACTTTATGTGTAGTAACTAAAGAAGAAGGGTCCTTCTCAAAAATATTTGAAGCATTTAGACTCAATGGATAGTGTTCAGTCTTCAGTTCTGAAGATTGAACTTCAGAATTTAATTTTTTTATGTCCCACCTTCCTTTTTTAGGCGTAGAATCTACATGAGTATTAATAACATTTTGATTTTCGTTGGGTATTTCTTTAGCTTTTTCAGTCTCCAAATCAGTTGGATCTATATTTATAAGCGGTTTCTTTGGAATATATATTTGTGAATCCCGTTTTATGAATGGTTTGATATTTAAGGGTATTTCCAGATCTAGAATGGCATCATCATTTTTAGTTTTCTCATCTTCTCTGGTTTCAGTATATTTATCTTCTACTTTATAGATTTCCTCGTCGCTCTCCCATCCTGAATTTAGGTTTGGTTTTATCGTTTGGGTTTCTTCTTCTTCGCTCTCCCAATTATCGTTGAATTCAGTAGGTTTCTGTGATGGTACCCTTTGATTTTCGTTAAAATATTCATCAACAGGTTCGGTTTTAATTACGATACTTGGTATTCTACTGTTGTCAGGTGGTGTAGTATTCTCTTGCACAGGATGTACATTCTGATCAAATTCCTTTTTAATTTCTATTTCTAAGCTTCTGATAGGTTCAACATGAGATTCGGAATCACTCTCCGAATAATTGTTTTTAGATTTCTCCTTTCGTGTAACTTTTTTCGAAATTTCTACGTTTGCAGAAGACTTTGATTTCGAAGGTGCTTCTACTTTTTGCGATGCTTTTTTCTTAGCTTTTCTTTTTAACTTCTTTCGTAAATCGTCCATTACTGGCGATTTCGCATTAACACTAAGAGCTTTCTTTTTTTTCTTTCTTTCTTTCTTGCTTTCTTTTTTCTTTTTTGCACTAACTTCAGATATTTCCTTCTTTTTCGATTTCTTGCTAATAGTTTTCGGTTTTTTCGATATTTTCTCTTTGTTTTTAGCTTTTTTCTGCTTTTTCTTCTTTCTTTTTTCTTGAGAATTATCACTATCTTCGTAAGAATCGTGTTTTTTAACTTTCTTCTTCTTTTTACGCTTGGGAATTTCTTCATCCACTGGTTGGTCCAGTTTTCGCTTAGTATTCTTTTTATTTTCTTCATCGGCTGGTTGTTCCTGTGTTCGCTTAGTGCTCTTTTTATGTTTTATTATTTTTTCTTCTGTGTCTGATTGTTCCAAATCTAATTGACGTTTTTCTGGAGTTTTTTCTTCAACTTGTGTAACTTTTAATAATTGTGAGGAGGACGAAATTTCAGGTGTTAATACGCCCGTTTCATCCTCTGATTGGTTACGTATTGATTCCGACTGACTCATCTCAGGGGTGTACATTTCGATATCATCTTGAATCATATCATATACAGGTGATTTCTGTACATATACAGGTGATTTCTGTACATATACAGGTGATTTCTGTACATATACAGGTGATTTCTGTACTATGACTTCGGGTACTACACGTTGAACTTTTAAATCTTTATTGTCTAAAACAGCATCATTTTGGATTGAAAAAACAGTAGGATGTACAGATGTGATTGGCTTTTGCCTAATGCTACTACATATTACGATTTCTTCTGTTTCATTATCGTCATCTTCGTCGGAGTAAGTCTGAAGAAAAGACAAGCCCACAGAATTTTCCAGTATTTTACACTCTGGATTAGAAGATTTCCTCCACATCTTGTTATACCACGACTGCGACTGCGCCGTTTTATTATTTGGTGGAGGCCTGGAAATAATAAAAGACTAATAAAATGCGAGGCTAAAATGAGTTAATCCGAAGTATAGATAATAATGTAACCAACATTTATCATTAATATTAATTCCAATTAAAAATATCTGTTTCTCGTTCTAAAGCAATTTTTGTGCTATAACTTATATTAATTTCTACATTTTTGGAACAAACCAAAATAATCGAGGCATGTTTTCAACAATACACTAAATATAATATAATAATACACTAAAATGTTCAATACTTTTCTTACATATTGATAAGCATTTGATAATGGGAGGAGTATTCAGACCTCATGATGATTTCCATCACCATGACCTTTTGGGAGCAGTGGATATGTCCTTAAACATATTTATAAACAACACTTTTCCTGATTTATAGAATTCATTATCCAATTTACCCTGCAGTTCATATAGTATCTGTATGCTGACACTAGTCGTCTGTATGCCCATAAAGATCCCAGAAAATTAGAAACTGATGTAGAAAAGAACTTAACAGAAATAGATGAGTGGCTAACTGTCACAAACTCACTTAATATGAATAAGTGCAGTTTATGATAATTTTAAATGTAGATTCACATAGTGAGATGCACTTGAACTTTAAAAAATTTAAATAGATCAAGTATATTAGATTGTATTATGGAATGGAGGTCCAGAAATTATAAAAGAAACCGAGGACGACCACCGACTAGATGGACCGATGACATTAAACGTGTAGCGGGAAACTGGCTACAAGCGGCCCAGTGTAGAGAAAACTGGAAAGAACTGAGGGAGGCCTATGTCCAGCAGTGGACGCGATTGGCTGATTGATGATGATGATTGGGTTATATATGGATAAACGAATGGATCCTCGAAAAAGCGCAAGAGTTTAACATAGATATGTATCATATTTTTGTCGATTTTAAAGCAGCACAACGGTTACCGGCCATCATTCTCGCTTGGATTTCTTCCTTCATATTTGATCTTCTCGTGAATGTCGCTCCTAAATACTGGAATATTTCTACTTCTTCGAATTTATATGTTTTTTCATCTGTTATTACTGTCAGATATTGTTCTTGTAGGTAATCTCTTTCTGTCCATTCCATATATTTGGTCTTTTCTTCATTTATGTACATCCCTTTCTTTCTCGCTTTCATTTCTAATCTTTTTATTATTTCTTTTAATTCTTGCTTACTTCTGGCTATCAGTACAATGTCGTCAGCGAATGCTAAGCATTGGTGTTTTCTTTGATATAAAGTTCTGATCTGTTGATTCCAGCTTCTCTGATGGTAACTTCGAGGACGATACTGAACAACAGCGATGACAGTGGGTCTCCTTGTCGCACCCCTCACTGATCTCAAACTTATCTGTTTCTTCGCCATTTATTTTAACCCTATTCTCTGTTCTTCGGAGTGTCACTTTTACCATTCTTATCAGTTTTTCACTAATTCCCATTTCACGTAGTGCTTTGTATATTTCTTTGCGTTTTATCCTATCGAACGCTTGTTTAAATCGACGAATAGGGCCATTGTAGGTTTCCCATATTCGTAGCTTTCTGCTTGTATTTCGCGCAGTAGGAAAATTTGATCCACTGTGCTGCGCCCTCTTCTGAATCCACATTGATATTCCCCTATGTCATTATCTATATTTTGAGATAGCTTATCTTTTATATATACTGCAAGTATTTTATATGCAACATTTAGTAGGGCTATTCCCCTGTAATTGTGGCATAAACTTTTGTCGCCTTTTTTTGTGAAAAGGGCACAGCGTCGCTTCGGTCCATTCCTTCGGTAATTTTTCTTGTTCTCATATGTCTTTTAGCAACTTTTCCAAATGCTTAATTAGTACTGGTCCTCCATATTTAAACATTTCAGCTGTTACTTCATCTCTTCCTGGGCTCTTATTATTCTTTAGTTTCTCTGTTATTTCTTTTATTTCTTTTTCGTTAGGCGGTCTTTCCTCTATTCATTTTTTGAACGACATTTTCCTTCACTTCTTCTTCCTCTTCATATTCTGTTGTGGGAATTTCATTTAAAACTTCTTCAAAGTATTCTTTCCATCTGCTCAATATTTCTTCGTCACTTACTAAATTTCTTCTACTTTTGTTTTTATAGTGTACAGGTTTTCCTTGGTACCCCTTATTCTCATTTTTCACCCCTTGATATAAGTTTCTAATTTCTCTATTTTTATAGCTCTGTTCTATACATTTTAATTTATCTTCATTGTATTTTTTTTTCTTTGATCTTATTATTCTTTTGGCTCTTTTCCTTTGTTCATTGTATTTTCTCTCTATCTCTGTTGTTTTTTCTTGCATCATTTTCATTCTTAATTTATTTTGTTCATCTAGTTCCATTTTACATTCATCCTCGAACCATTCTTTATATTCGTGTTTTATATTTCTATTACTGGCCTAAGCTGCTTTGGTCATACATACTTTTATTTGCATTCATGTTTGTTCAATATCCCCACTTTCTGCAATATTATCTAATCCTCTACTGACTATTCTTTCATATTTATTTTGTTCCTCTTCTGTCAACTAGGAAAATTGAATTTGGAACTAAAACAATTACTTTTTAATAACTACTTTAAGACCAATCAGATTTGAATCATTTAAATTTCTTATTGTATATTTTGAATTCATGGAAAACATTAACATAGATTACTTAACAAATTTTGCAACTAAAAATATATTATGTAAATATATCTATCGTTATGTGATCGTTATAAAAAAAGATCGTTTATTATAGAAGTACAGTATATGGCTGAATTGTAACTATAACCGAGACAAATAAAGTTCAACTATCGTAAGATTAAATTTCCCGCCAATTGACAAACCATAATATTTATTTATATTAAAATGTATTTACACTTTTTTGAAAAACGTCAAAAATATGTAATTTTAATTTCAATTATTGTAATTTATCCCTTAAGAAATATAGTACCTAGTCAATAATATCAGTAATCATTTTTATTATACTTAATTAAATTAGCTATTTCAAGAAATATACCTGTAAGACAATTCCTAGACAATTATAGATAAAAGGCGAAATTTGACAGTTTACAAATGCTCGTTGCTCGCACAGGTTTTCAAGCGACTTTGTTTTTAAATAGCTGTGGTATAATGTCTTGTTGCTGTCAGTCAGAATGTACAAAACAATTTTTTTTGATCTATCAAACCTTATCCTCCTCGGACCCCAGGTATCATAATATATGATACTACGGTTCAACAAATTATGTTTCGCATTCGACGCAAACGGCAAACGTAGTTATTCTGCCCATAAATAAGCACAGAATAATAAACAATCAGAAGGGCCACTCTCAGATACCGTCTTTGAAGTTTTTCAAAGTGCCACCACATAAACAACACTGGTTCCCTTTAAAATCCTCGTAAAACATGGCGGAACGTCTGAGCGAAGGAGATGCGCGTACTTAATTTTCCGTGGAGAGTGGGCATTCTGTTTGTTTATTATTCTGTGCCATAAGTATCGCCCGTGTTAAGCATCTACCTACTACGCGTAGAAAATTGCGCCGTGGCATACTTCCGACTGAAATGAGTTAGTCAGACTTTTGTCGTGAGTAAATACGTCATGGCAGACGCTATAAAAATCATCAATAATAAAAGTAAGTACATAACATTTAGCATGTTTCTGTGTATAATAAATATTCTGTGTATTTTAGTGTTAAAAAAGGTACTAAATTGAAATTGTGATAAATTGATGATAGGTACAACGGTTCTTTGACCCTAAACATAAGGTATCATTGATGATACCTTGGGTCCTAAACGGTAGTGTATTTTAAAATATTTTATTTTTATTTTTAGGGTAGCTAACTGCGACGGAACTTCAGGAAATCGCAGATATAATGTGAATTTAGATGACTCTGATTTGGATCTTTCTCTTTTTCCTGACAGTGATGATGATGGGGATGAACCTAGAAATCTGGATGAGAATGAAATAATTATTGAAAGTGAGGAAGAAAGTAGTGACGATCACGCTGAAATCAGTGACATATCAGACGACGATTCGGATGATGACATGCTCTTGGCAACCCGTCTTTTAAAGGAGAGTAACAGGGCAAATTATATTCCTAAAAAGGACGAAAGAATGGTAGAGAACACTTTTTACACCATAATTTGCCCAAAATCAACACCCTGTGCAAGATCACTTGAATCCCGAAAATATGTTTATTGCATGCTGCTTGCATATTGGTGTTTATAATTTACCACGAATCCGGATGTTTTGGCAAATGGATACCAGGGTACCAATAGTTTCAGACAACATGTCAATAAATCGTTTTTTGCCATTCGAACACAACTCAAAATTGTCGACATGATTCTGTAAGGATCATGGAGACTAAAGAAAATGATAGATTTTGGAAACTAAGACTATTGTTGGATCAAATTCAAAGGCCTTGTCTGAGCTTGTAGGATTGAAGAATTTTGTCATGACGACTACGGGGGGGATTACACTTGATTTTCACATGTATGATGGGTAAAGGCAGATTTATTGAATCCAGCTTGGTACTTACACCAGAATGGCTGGATATCGGGGAAGGGGTGTTTTAAAACTTACAGATACTCTGCCAGTAGGAGTATCTATTTTTGTTGACAGATATTTTACGTGAAAAATATTGATTGATGCATTACATTCACGGAAACTTTATGTAACAGGAACACTAATGAAAAATAGAATACCAAAAACTGATGTGACATTTAAAGACAGATAGAGATCTAAGAAAATCAGGAAGAGGCTCCCACGATATGCTCGTTAACAAAGACAACAAAATAGCTGTTACAAAATGGTTTGATTCCAAACAAATCTATATGGCTTCATGAGCATTTGGAGCTGAACCCTTGGGATTGTGTAGGCGCTGGTCAGTAGAAGATAAAAAATACATAGAAATAATTTTGTTATTGTCCTTACTCAACGCAATGAGTACAAAAATGATAGTAGTTTATATGGGTAAATTGTTGATGCATAGTGGAATTTTAATATTCTCAGCATCGCTCTGAATGGCTTGATTAAGCTTGGGTTATACAGTTTACTTTAATTGCTATCGATATTTAACTTCATGTTTCCTCACTAGAGGCTTCTAGTAGCATACTCTGGTAATTATTTTTACTACAATTGCCTTAGTAGTCGGTGCGTTTTAATTTGGTTTGAGTCTTCTTACAAACTCCTTCTGATGACGGGTAGACCCAGAAACACGTGTCAGGGAGTGGTAAGAGACTCAAATTAAATCGAAACGCAACCGTCATTTATTTTGACATAGAAATAAATCGTCCAGCAGGGATTAAGCACTACCATGAAAGCATGGGTGGAGTAGATTTGCTGGATAGGATTATGTCAAAGTACCCTATGAGCAGTAGAACAAATAAATGGACAATACGGTGTATTTACGCCTTTATTGATTTTTGTGCTGCAGCTAGTTGGCTACAATAGCTACAATACAAGAAAGATTACCTGTCATTTAAGTTTTCGCTTGCTAGGTCGATCTTGTACTCCAAGAACAGAAGTGAACCCACATCCGACGAAAGTGACGAAGAAAATGAAAATGTAACCAGAAAAAGAAGAAAGACTGCACCCATCCCTGATAAACGCTTACAGTCAAAGGAAGCTAAACACCTCCCATAATTCGTTAATGAAAGCCAAAAATCAAGATCAAAATGTAGGTATCCTGGATGCCACAATCTGATGTTTATCAAATGTGCCCGGTGTAAGGTTTTTTATGTTGTAGTGTCAACAGAAATTGTTTTACTAAATTTAATCAATAAAAATGATAAGTGCATATTAATTTTTTTATTGTCCAAGATTTATTTTATTTATGTATGATTTATTTATGTATCAAGACCCAAAGTATCACTAGTGATACTACAATTTTTGAAAAGACCAAAATGGTTTTCTTTATTTTTTGTTTTTTATGATTAGTAATCCCAAATGGACCACAGGAGTGTGACGTCACGACTGTCACATTGACATTATTACTTTTCAAACAAAAGTTGAAATGTCAAATCTCAAGATTTTATTAATATCTATAAAGTTAACATTTTGCTTCCTCTGCTGCTTTTTCTTGTAAGCATAGTGTTTTTTACGATAATACCATCCTAATTCAGAGTTCTATTTCTATGAAATATAGTTTAAAAGTTTAAATAAAGAAATTGTAACCTTACTTTATTGATACATGCATTTTATTGCTATTAACATAAAACAATGTGCTTTATTATTTACACAACCTTGTAAAATTGTTGTAGTAACTATTAGAATACTTAATATTGCAATAAGCCGAAAGATTCTATAAAATAAATGAAAAAATAACGAAAAATACAAATTATCCACACTAAACCAGGTTTGTTTGGAAAGTGAAACTGACGTATGTCAATAAAATCTACGTCATCACTCCTGTGGTCCATTGTAACATTCTTTTGATTGGCAACAAAAAAAATCACTGCAATTCATGTTTGGGCCCGAGGAGGTTATACAGAATACATCAAAAATTTTACACAGTACACAAGTTCATTTGGCCGTTTTAACTAAATGTTTTTTCATTTGGCCAAACTACTTCATATTTTAGTACCTATGTATTATCGTATTTTGATCATATATTATTTTGAGTATATGGAACAAATTATACTTACTTAGATTGCTTATTAATAACATCTTTGATGGCTTGTTTGCGCGTGCTCGATACTAAGTGAAATAACTGCTCCCTTGATATATAACTATCTTTATTTTTCTCGGAATTAATGCTATACACTAAACGGGGTCGACACTTTGTTATCCTAAAATAAAAACAACTATCAATTGTCATCTCAGTTACACAGTTTTATTCTTAGTTTATGTGGTCTATATCCTTGTGTTCACCAGTCTGGCTTTTAACGAGAATTTCAGCGGGATAAGATCTGTGAAATATTTACAACTACACAAAATGGAAAAATGTAGGCATATTTTTATATGTGATCTATTTTAGGGCTTCCCAAACTGTGCGTCGCGACGCACTGGAGCTTCGCTGCGTCGTCCCAGGGGTGTTTTACTACAGAAGATGTATTTATTTGATTTTAAATGAGTATCAAATATATGTATTAATAAATAAATCAAATAAAAAATATAACATCAAATAGATAGACCCTTGAATTATCTGAAACATTCTCAAAAGTTTTATTACCATTTGCGACTTCGTACTTGTGCGAAACGACTTTTTTGCAGTGGCAGTAATTAAAAACAAGTACAGGTCAAACATAAACTTAGAAAAACAAATGAGTGACAATTTCCAAACTGGAGCCCCAGTTTTTGAGCAAACTAATTCTTTAATGAAGCACCCTTTATATTTTTTTACATTTGGACTATTCTCATCAAAGTATTCGCTAATGCGGGTTTTTATTCATTTTTATACGTCAACAATTTTAACTACTCCTTTATTTATGTTTGTTTTGGTTTTCTCTATGATAGTTTACCACAATTTGACAAAAAAATATATTAATAAAATTTTTGTGACTGAAAAAGTCGAAAAAAACGTCAATTTTTTGAACAATTTTAAAAAAATTGTATATTATAATATAAAAAAAGTTTAATTGTCATATATAATGGATAAGATAAAAAAAATGTTGTTAATGAGCCATTTTTTAGTGTTTCTAGATGGTAATAGTACCTTAACCTTATCCCCGGTATACTTCATCTAATTTACATACCGTTACACGTCATTATTTACGTCAGAGATCGAAGTTGACATAGTTGCCAAAGTATAAAAAAATCCTGAATCCATTTAAAATCAAATAGGTCACATAATTATTGCAAAAGTAGTGCCATTTCTTTACAACGATTATTTAAATTTTTATGTGACATTTTTGAAATAAAACACACTAATATTGTTCTAAAAAGAACAGATTTTATTAAATAGTTAAAAATATAAAACAAGAGGTATTCACTTTAAAATTCAAAATAATAAAGTACAAAAAGTGTCAACACCGCAACTGTCAAATAAGTGTTACCAATTTATGCCAAAATTTCACCTTCGTTCGATTACAGTTACAGTGTGTTCCGAACAAAAATGTTCTTCATAAAAACGCTTTATAATGCATTTATACAAATTAAATGAAACATATTATTGTGTATTTCTTTAAGTTAACATTAATAGATACCTTTAAATATTATTTCTACGCGTATATAATAAAATATGTCTAGTGGCTGTAATGCCAGTGTACTCGGCAAAGTGGTTCTAAAAAAGAACACACCTACCGCCTAAATATTTCGTGTTGGTATCATGTGACGTCACGGGCTATGACGCCGATGACGTGCATCGGTATGTAAATTAGGTGAAGTATATACTTTAAAATATATAGCTGTTTTAGTAGACCGTCCCGAATGTAGTACAGTTTGTATTTAAAATATTGACTTTTTTCTATAGATCTATTTAAACATTGTGATGGAATGTAATTCTGAAGATGAAATATTATTTAAAATTTTCAAACAAATAAAAATATAATTGATTAAGTAAAAAACTTACTTTAAATTACAAACTGGTACCGTCTTTAAACCATTTTCACATTCGACTACCAACGGCTCAATTGAAGGAGATGGCGTATCAAAATTATACAGTTTTTCGAGCAAACTCAAGTTGAGAATGTCCTTTTTTGAGACAGATTTAAACTTTTCATCTCTAGGAGTTAAAGAAGATTTTCTGTATTCTGACCAACTTCTTGGTTCTCTGGAACTAGAATAAGATCCTCTTCTATCTGAGGAAACATCGATGCTAGGAGAATATCTGTTCGAAGTATCTGATCTTCGGTAGTTCCTTTGTTTTTGGTCTCTCCGCTTAAAAGTGGAACTGCGATCTGGAAATATACTTGGATATAATTTTAAAAACATAATCGAGATATTAAAAAACAACAAAAAGAGCTTATAACTCAAAGGAAGCTCATAAAATTTACAAATGTATGGAACTTTTATTCAGCTTCAGATTAGCCATGTTTCAGTGTAAATACAAAAGCATTATTTAAAATTATGAACCAACCTGGCGATGGTGCTCCATGTATACTAATAGACCTAATGGCTGTTGCAACTGCTTTTCGCCGGTTAAAATCTTCCAATTCTTTCCTTTTAAGCTCTTCTATTTCTTGAATGCTTGTATGAACTGTTTTTGCTTTGTTATTGGAGTTAAGATCTGAAAAATAAAAATAATATTGTTTACAAATATATGACAAATGCATGAGCTCAACAGAATGAGCTGTAGGAGATAATAACTAAGGTGTTAAAATTTTTTTAGGTAATAACATGATTTGCTCATTTTTCAACACTATTATCAATGCGGATCTAAGCTATTCATTCTCCAGCATATCCTTATGATGTACATCTCATCATGACATAGTCTATCTAGTTTCCCACCATTTTTCTTTTGTGTACTGTAAGTGAGGTCCATAGACTCAATCTACACTGACTTTTCCAATGCCTTTTCAATTTCGACATTTTGCCTGCAAAGCTCCACAATTTAGGATTTACTAAGGAGGCAATAGAATGAATATAAAGTATTTTAAAGGATGGAAAACAAAAGGTGAAACTATTTAATTTCCTATCTGAATCATTTGAGGTTTTATCAGGTGTCCCCCAAGGGGGCACTGTTCACCATTACTATTTAATCTCTTTATAAATGATATTTCTGTTAATCTTGAAATATTAGTTTTACTTGTTGCAGATGATTTAAGTTATATAGATGGCTAAAATCTATACCTGACATACATATACTGCAAAAGGATATTGACAGGTTATGGGACTGGAATATACAGAGTAATCTTACATTAAATATTGATAAATGCTTTTATATCAGTTTTTTTAGGGGAATAAACAATATGACTCAAACTATCTTATGAGTAATGTTAACTTAAGATATAAAAATCAAGTTAGAAACCTGGGCATCACTTTTAATGAAAGCATTAATTTCAATGACTATATTTCACAGATTATATTGAAAGGTCTTAAACTTCTTGGATTTACATTAAGAAACAGTAGTGAGTTCCCAATTGATGGAACGGAAGTTGTATATTATTCTCTTGTTGTGTATGCTCTCAACTAGAATATGGCACGCTAGTCTGGTCTCTAAGTATGACCAGTAAATCAATTAAATTGAAAAAGTTCAGTATCAGTTTCTTAGGTACTGAGGTTACAAAATGGGAATCCCAGTTGCAAATATAGACAAAAAGGGAATTTTAGATAGATTAAATCTAACAACACCAGGAATAGGAACTCAGGAAGTTACAGAATATTCCTCTGAGAAAAAATTATCAACTCTAACTTGCTGACTTCTATCTATTAGGTACGAATTCAAAAATGTTAATGTATTAACTGAGAAGCCAAAGGTGCCAAGTTTTTCTAGTAATAAACCATTATCAACTCTATCAAATACTTTTGCATAATCAGTGAACATTACATCCATTTGCCTCTTAATATTTATGGCATCTGCAGCAGATTGTGTGAAAATACATATAGAATTTGTAAGTGTTGATCTATCTGGTAGAAATCCATGTTGATATTGATTAAAAGATTTGATAAAATGTTGTAATAAGTTGTTATATAAAATAGATTCAAATATTTTTGCCAAAGAATTTAAAATACTAATTGGTCTATAATTTTTTATATCATTAATATTACCAGATTTACCCCTTATAGATATAAGCAGGTAGATTATCTTTACCTGTACATTTCTTGGGTTTTAATCTCTTTACACTAGCTCTAATGACTTCTTCAGTTATCCCATCAAACTCTAGAATACCATGAAACTCAGGTATCTTCATATCAGATGAGATGCTATAGACTGACTTAAAGTATAATTCAAAAGCATTAAAAACTCCATCAGAACCAGTGTAAATATTGTTGTCTAACTTAATTTTTGCTGGTAAACCCCTGGAACTACTTCAGGATTTCACAAATGACCAAAAACTAGTTATTTAGTTAATATAATAACTAATAATACTAGATATTTTATATACTAAACTTCAGATTATAATGTAATGGGGTGATCTCTTCTACTTGATAAATAAATAAAATAAATAAATAAAAAACGATGTTAGCAATAGATTGTAGTCAAGATCACTACATATGGTATAAATGTCAGCTTAAGACCTTCAGATTAAGTAGAATTCATCCAGAGTAAACAATTTTTTAAACGAATTACATATCTTTAGAATAATAATATGTATCTATAATTTTACTATATTATCCATAATTTCCTAAGTTGGGCCCATATAGGTCCATTAAGTGTTATAATATAGATAGTTGAATACAGATCTTACATTATGACTCAAAACCTTAACTTTTAATGATCATATCTAATGCTTTTTGTTTTACCTGATTGACAGGCAACATAATTAATGTAAAGATATATGTTATATTAAAAAATCACTAAATGTTAAAAGTCTAGAAATTAATTGAAGAAGTTTTAATAAACATTCTACATTCACATAGAAATATTAACAGACTTATTAAAAATGTGCTCTAAAAAGGCATTAGGTATTCAATTATTTTGGAAGCAGACAAAATCAAATTTTTCAAACAAAATTTTGGTTATCTGATATGCTTACCTCATTCTTTATATGAGATGGCAGAGGTTTTAGTGTATTCTACAACTCAGTGAAAAAAAAAACATATTTTCGATTAGCTCATTTAAACTCGTAAATTGGTTATCAGCTAATGATTTGTGTATGATCAATTTTTTTTAAGCATTTCATAAAATTTTTATATAAAATATTCATGCTGTATACTTACTTTTTTTAGTTTTTTTGGCCTGAAGTTTCACATGCTTTCCTTCTGCAACAATTACTTTATCTTCTTTAATAGAAGATTTTCCTACTTGTTTGCTGTAAGCTTGAAGTCTTTTCTTAGCTAAAAATACATTTGTTGGGTTAGTTTTTATAACAGATTCTTCAGATTTTTCATTTTTGGTATCACATTCACCCTCTATGCCTTCATTTGAACCTCTTGAACAAGTAGGACTTTCTGGAGGAGCTTCATCTAATGGTAATTCTGTTACATATTGTAAATCAGTGAGATCTTCTGGCTGATCAATCCATTCTGAATTCCAAAATTCCATTATAAAATGTTGAGATACATTTTTTTATATACCTGAAATATATATTACTTAGATATAATCAGTTAATAATACTTAAATAGTGGACGTTAACATACTTTTTATACATAAAAAATGGAATGAAACTATAAATATTATTAACCTGGTTTTCAGAGCCTATATATTCAATAACCAAAATTAGGTGATGTGGGTATGAAAATGATTTACTTCACTTAAATTATTGCGTTTATATACAATATTTACCTACATGCAATAAAATGATCTCGAAGTTATAATCGTTTCTTCTCATATACTTGTATCAGCAATAGTAAGTAACTCTCTCCAGGCCGATTAAATATCTTGAATATTTCGGAAAATTATAATTATAAGGAATATAAAACAAATATATAAAGTAGTGAGTTACTAATAAAGTTAAAGTAAATATATGCAATTATTTATACATTGATAATTAAATTAATTAAACAATATGAACAATTTCTATAAAGTCCCAATTTATTTCTGTTTTTACTACTTCAATGGCAAATAAGCAATAGAATTAGAAGACAATGTTGCCAACGTGCATTCCAAATTTATTTAATATTTATTTTATTCCAATTATTTAATTAAAGAATATTACAAATAAATTTTAAGAATTAAGATTTTAGTCCATTATGTTGAGTTGACTGACATGATTAAATTAAAACATTAAATTTTTTGTTGAATACAAAATTTTACACCCTGTAATGTACTGCAACGTTAATGTTGGTGATCCTGATTTTGATCTTTGTCAATTGTCATTTTTATATCAGAGGCGTAGGATTTTTGAATATTTAATCAATAAATAGCAATTTATATTTAGCATTTTGTATCATATACATATCAACTTTTATATCTTATTGGTAGCTTAAATGCTTGCGACAAATTTAACATGTTTCTTTTAAACTTTATAAGAAAAACAGTAATTTTAAGAAAATAGTAAAATCATCCTATATAAAAAGGAGACAGCGACTGATAGTGGCAACACTGTGAGACACTGTTGCTAACTTAAACTTACCTTTTGGATAGACGTTGACAGGGCAAAAGCAAAAGCAGTAAGTAAAAGAGAGATTTATTTTTAAAACGTAGCCATATTTGTTTGTCTCTACTATTTCAAGATTTTCAAGTTGCTTTGTATGTTAATCAGAAATATATTTATCTAAAATCAACATGAATATGGTAAGTAATATTAAATTGGTCTTTAAACAAAGCAATTCAACATTTTTCTTTTCTTTAGATACCAGCTTCAGATGAGGATGATGATATAGAAAGTCTTAGAAGGGCAGCTTTGCACTCATTAAAGAAAAAGCATTCATTTTCAGGCACACAACACGGCTTTTATTACCCAAATTTTCGAGGTGGAAGAAGGGGATCAAAAAGTGTAAGTTGTTAATACTTTAGTCATAACTGCCATGTAAGTAGATCAATACTTTGATGAGTATATAATTGCCTAATAATTCAAAATTTAATATTTCCCAGCATATTAAGATTAAAGTACCAAATGAAATGTTTTGTTTGTGTAAAATGTGCAAATAGATTTTTAATTTCATTGTGTAGAATGTTTGTTCAAAATGCTATGACCCTATCTAAAGTGTAGTTTATTTATGTATTACAAATTTCTAAATTTTTAGTAAGACAAAATGTAGTCAATAAATCAATAGACAAAATCAATAAGTCATTAAATCATGAACATAAATAATAATTGGGGTGCTGGCCAAAATAAATTTGGAAATAGGTGAATATAAAATACAAACAAAAGATATATAAAATGCTAAATAAAGTAAGATACTCTTGCAATTTTGCAGAGCAATTTTGCACACTTATTCTTTATAATACTGACAAGTAAATTTAGTAACATTTTTTTGTTACATTTTTTAAATTTTTGACCAATTGGAAGTGATTGGAAATTGCAATATTGTAACTTAAAACAAAAAATTATTCACATGCAGTTTATTTCCAAAATAAAACTGTCCATTAAAATAAAACCTACATATTTATTTTTGAAATTTTATATTATTCCAGTCATCAGAGACGAAAATACCACTCCATTTCTAAAAATCATACGAACAACTGAATTTTGCTTAGAATGTCAGTTTTGGAACCCCAAAAAAGTTTACCACTTTTACCCCTGCCTTTCCTCTAAAACACCCCCTTAAAAAAATATGTACATTGTAGAAAAAATGTAGCTGAGATAATTGTTAACAAAAAAGTTTATTAGCCCTTTTTGTGTAGAATTAACTGTTGTCTCAGAAATAACACTTTGAATGCAGAAATCAAATTTAAATAAAATTTGTATCAACTCAACAGTGAAAATTCGACATCTTTTGCTCAAAGTATCCTATTGACAAAAATCAAAATACATTTTAAAGGTGAAGATTTTGTATTATGGCATATAGATTTTTGATAAATTGATTTTTTATGTTTTCCCCTCATGTAGGGAAGTCAGGGGTAAAAGTGGAAGCCTTCACACTCTTGCCTGACTATCATGCATCCCCAAAGAGAAGCAGGATTCATAACTGAACAGCGTTATGCATCACTAGACCAAGCGCCATTTTCTCAAATTGTGGATTTAACAGCATACAAACAGCATAAACTACATAATAAATCCCATTAGTCTTTTAGTAACAGTTAACCATATATGTTTAACAAGACCCAAGTGCCTTTCTTCTTATTCTGGATTTTGAATTTTGCATAACTAGACCAATTGACTAATTTTGTGTATTAGTTTTGCATCAGTAGACTAAGCGCCTCTTGCGAGCCTTTTATTGATTGTAAATCATTTTGGCAACATACGTACATGTTGACAATAACTTGTTGACACGTTTAGGTTAAGAAATATTGTTCTGAAGCTATTTTCTTGTGGCATTGTAAATTAATTACTATTAAACTGGGAATAAGCCACAATTAGATATAAATACGTTTATTGACGTTTCAATTTCCACTTCGGAAATCGTTCTCAAAATACAAATTTTGTTTAATTTACTGTTTGTATTTTGAGAACGATTTCTGAAGTGGAAATTGAAACTTCAATAAATGTATTTATATCTTTAATTGTGGCTTATTCCCAGTTTAATAGTAATTAAGTTAAGAAATAGTGTCAGTTATTGCTTAAATTTTTCTATAAAATAATGTTTTGATTTAGAAAAAAATCTTCGCCTTCCGAGAATTCTAAATATATATTATAAGGGTCAATTATGTATTTACAACCTTGGTATCCATAGCGGCAAGGATAAGAAAGGTCCCAGTTATGTTTGGATAGGAGGTGAAGCTGGCCAGGGAGCCCAAAAAGTAAGCAGTTGTCTTAAGAAACACATTGAAGAAAATGTTACTTGCAAACCACTAATTTTGTGGTTAGACTCTTGTGGTGGCCAAAACCACAACATCTAAATAGTTTTGATTCTGAAAACGATTTTGGAAACTCATTATACCATTGAAAACATTACATTACGCTATCTCTTTTCTGGTCATAGTTTTTTACCCAATGATAGTGATTTTGGAAATATTGAAAATGCTTTAAAATTTCATCAATGTTTATATACTGTTGATGATTACCTAAATGTGATGAAGAAAACCCGTTAAAAGAATGAAAAAAGAAGAATTCATTAGAACAAAGAAGTTGGCAACTATGATTACAAACTGTAAATCAGACATAGAAAACAGTAAGGTAAGCTGGCTTAAGACAAGAGAAATTGAAATAAGAAAGGATAAACCACTGAGTATTTTTATTAAAACCGATTTTAACACTAGTGAAGTTGAAGTAGATCTTCACAAGAGACTTCAAAAAGAATGGCCCGTTGTAATGCAATCAGTAAGTAACCACTTGATTCCTCTTTGGCCCACAAGCAAGCCACTTTCTGTGCCTAAGCTTAACGACTTAAGATCTTTAATGCACCTAATACCAAATGATGCAAAACCTCTATATAGCTCCCTTTATTTATTTATTTTTTAACATTAGCAAGTTACTATTTCGCACTTAGAGAAAACAAAAAAAACAGTCTTCGAAAACAAAAAATTACGACTATTGTAACATACTGAATTTTAATAGAGTGAAAACTTTGAAGTCAAATATCTCAAAATCAATTTTTGGTGCTTGATCTAGTGATGCATAATGCCGTTCAACAAAAACCACCTGATTCCATTCTTAGTCTCATAGAATCATTTATTTACACCAGAGCAAAAGTTATGCTGATGTTCAGCTGTGATCAATACCAACCCAATAACTACTGTAGTGGCAGCGAATGTGTTACTTATATAAAATGTAAAATATAGTGAGTTTAAGATCCATGATTCAAATCAGCTGGCCAGAAAGACAAAAATTTAAATGTAGTTTAGCACAAAGTGGATCTGCAAATTTGAATTAGAATATGAAATGTATTTTATAACAGAATCTAGTTTCAGATGTGTCATCTACTTCATAATCTTTGAATCAACTCTGTTTTTTTTTCAGGGCAATTTTAATGGGGTTAGAAGTACCAATTTAATCTCCCTGACTCATGTTCAACCCATCTCAGAGCCAAAGAATGAATCGCCTACTAAAGAAGAAGATGGTTCCAGTAAATTTAATAGGTATAATAAATCTGATAGATCAGGCAGTGAATCTGAAGAGGACCCTTTAGTTGGAATTAGTTCAGTAGCTGATGTGAAAAAATCTGATAGCTTAGATGAACTCATGCAAGAGTTAGATAGTCAGATTGGAGGTACACCTAATATAGATACAGATAAGGATCTCTTAGAAAAGACAAATAAAGAGGGAGAACAGTCTTTAGAACAACCAGAACAATCTCAGCCCCAAGTAATTACAGTTGTAAATATGAGCAAAAGTAACCCTATCATTATAAACCCAAGTCAAGATATACCAGGGTTAGAAGAACATTTTTCAAACCCTGCACCACCTGGAACTATGAGAAAACGTCCTAGGTCAAGATCACCATTTGGAAGAAATCGTTTCCGTAAAAGACAACACAAATTTTTTCCACCTATGATACCACCTCAGCCTATTATGCCTTTTATTCCTCCGGAACATTTTCAGCCACAATTATTACCATTTATCCCACCCATGCAAGAACCAATATTTATACCTCAAGGTTTTAACATGATCCCACAACCTGCTCCTCCTCCTTATTTTGAGAGACCTCTATCACCTCTGGCTATTAACACGGAATCTCTTACGACAGCTACGATGGCGCCTTTATCTCCTAGAAGTGCCGCTTTCGTTATGCAGAATAAAGCGATAATTGAGAAAAGGCGACGATCTCCTAGAAGGTCGTATTCTAGAAGCCCTTCTCGCAGTTTATCTCGTAGCCCAAGAAGATCGTTGTCACCAAGAAGACGATCAATGACGCCTCCTAGACGATTTAGAAGATCTGCCTCTCCAAGACGATTTTCAAGATCGCCAAGAAGATTTTCACCTTCAAGGAAACGATCTCTGTCGCCAGTGAAACGACGATCTGATTCTCCCAAAAGAAAAGTCACAGAGAATCCTCCACAACAAAATAAATCAACCATATACAATAGATTGGGTCTTAAATCAGACAAGCCAGAAGAAAACAAGGAAATACCAAGAGAAAAAGAAATGCTTGCAGAAGTTAAAGAAGAAGAACTTCTGGATCCAGTACTTGCAGCAAGAAAAAAGAAGTTTGAAACTAACGAGATTAAGAAGAAAGAAGGAATAATTAGGTTAAAACCGAAGGAGGACAAACCGAAAGAAGAGGAACAAAATTTGATCGAAGAAAGTAAAGTAGAAATTAAAGATCAGAAAGAGCATGAGTTAGAAATAAAATTACAAAAGGAAGATAAGCTGGAAGACAATATTTTAAAAGAGCATAAGCCAGAAGTAGCAAAAAGACTAAAAGAAGATAAGCCAGGAGTAATAAAAAAGCCTGAATTGAAGAAAACAACACCCAAAACTACTAGCGTACAAAAAAAATCAGCTACAACCACTAGTAAAACGACAAACACTGTACCAACAGCAAAACCGACTACTACTTCTACAACTTCCAAGTCAGCCCAAACAGAAACTGCTGATGCAGTTTCTAAATCTAATAAAACAGTAGAAGTTAAAAAGACAGAAGAAAAACCTAAAGATCCTATAATTTCATCAAAGAATACTGTAGAAGATGATCCTGATGAATTTAAAGAGCTAGAAAGGCTTCTTTTTGATGATAATGCTACTATAGATGAAATATTAGATCATAAAGTAGAAGATATATTTTCAGACGAAGAATCTGCCAGTGATAATGAAGGTAGATTCAAAGCAAAGGAGAAAAAAGATGAGAAGAAAGTGCCAGTGCTTTCATTTAGCAAATTAGTAAATGGGACTAAACCAGAAATAAAGGCTGAACCATTACCTGATTCTTCAAAATCTTCAAATAATAGATACCAAAACAGGTATGCTGATAGAAGACCCAGGACACAGCCAACTCCAAAGCCACCATCTAAAATTGAAGTACAAAAAGAAAAGAAAGAGAAGATAACTGCTCCTCCTGTTGAACAAAAGCCCGCTAGACAAAAAATAACTTTATTGACTGAGAAGAAAGCCCCTCGTCCGATAAAACAAGATCGCAAAATCGAGATTAAGATAAAGAATCCGTCAAAATATGAAAAGGGCGCCAAACCAAAATCTAAAGCAGAATCTAGTGTTCCAATTCAGAAAATTATTGTACCTATTCGAGATGACTCTGATGACAGCTCAGATGAAGAAGTTATTATAGAATCGGACGAGACTTCTATAGATGATGAAGATGATGATACTTACGATGATGAAGAGACAGTGAGAGGAGGTTAGTATAATTTTATTTGTGTTTATATTTTTAAATTATACACTCTGGGCCAAAATTAACCATCCACCTTAAAAATGGGTAATTTTTGATGTCTTATATCTCCTAAAGCTGTTGTCTGATTTAAGTGATTTTTTTAATATGTTATAGCCTTATTCCTTGACAATATCGTTATAATAATATGGTTGCTAAACAGGTAAATTTTCATTGTATACCGGGTGTACGAATTAACCCATTCGCTGCGTGTGCCTGCACGTCCACTCGCACCTACTGCGTTTCGATTACTGGCTAAGTAAATTCGAACGAAGCTCTGACGCCAAATAGCGGCGTGCGCACTAGGCATCAGATCATAGCGCCGCCAAATAGTGTCATACGCAGTGATTGGGTTAAACTGTTTTTTTCTTAAAGTTTGCATCACCCCGTGGAATATTTTAGCATATTGAAATATTGAAATTAAAACCTAACTATAGCCTCTTGTTTTCTCAACATTTTGTTTTTTGATTCATTTGCTTATGTTGGATAATACAAAAGTTAGGTAGTTTAACAACTAGCCATGTTTTTTATCAACACAGACGATTTAACTCGCCATCAAAATTAACCCCATCACCTTTATTATTATTTTGTTTACATTACCTGTGACAATTTGTTTTCTAAATTTGTGTCATCGAAAGATTTTTGATATATAGTCGTTTTAAGACATTGTTGCAAATCTGTTTCCGTGTTAATAACAATTCTTGAACAATTTGTAATTAAAATTGTAGGTTTATATCATTGTGAGCGAATATTATTTAAGTTGAAATTTTAGTGCTTATTTATTGTTTGTGATTTTAAAAATGATACTCGTTCCAACTGATGCTGCTAGGGTAGTGGCTTTAGTTGATGCTGGTATACTCGATGTACCCAGAACTACGGTACCAGATGTCATCAGACGATTTCGGGAGACTGGATCGTACAACCGCAGGCCAGGTCAAGGCCGAAAACGATGCACTTCAGTTCGAGATTACCGCTTCATTGTCACTAAAGTATTGAGAAATTTCGCTTTTGCACCGCTCATGAAGCTCATAGGTCTCTTCTTGAGGTGAGAAACGTTTGTGTGAGTAGACAAACGATTAGAAGAAGACTGCTCCCACTACTGCTCCCACAACACTGTAGGGCTAGATTTGATTTTGCCCGAGAATATGCTAACTGGACTATGACGAAATGGAAGAATATACTGTTCTCAGATGAGAGCAGAATAGCCCTAAAAGCTCCAGATGGGCGCCAACGTGTCTATAGGCGTCAAATTGAAAGGTTTGTTGCATTCGCTATAACCGAAACAGTGGCTTACCGAGGAGGGTCAATAATGATTTGGGGAGGTATTTCTTACGAAGCGCGTACTGATCTTGTTGTGTTCGGTAGAGGCAGTGTGAATGCCCAAATATATGTGCAAGAAGTTCTCCAAGACCATGTCATGCCTTTTGCACCATTCATGGGTGATAACTTCAGACTAATGCATGACAATGCACTTTGCCATACAGCAAGATATACCCGTGAGTACCTTAATGAGGTCAAGTTCTACCATGGCCAGCACACAGTCCCGATCTTAACCCAATTGAGCATATCTGGGACAACCTCAAAAGACGGGTAAGAGCAAGAGTACCAGCCCCTGCATCCTTTGAAGAGATGAAGACAGCTGCGGTAGAGGAGTGGTACAATATCCCCCAATCTGATATCCAGGATATCATGAATGGATTGCCAAACCGGCTCCAAAAAGTCCTAAGGGCTAGAGGCGGCAACACCCATTATTGATACCCATTGTTTTTTCAATTAGACTTTGATTTCCAAAATATTGTTAATTTGAATTTTCTTCAAAAATTTTATTCATTGGATTTTTACTGTAACAAATGACTTTTTTTCAAAAAGATTATTTTTTCTCTTCCGCGGAGATAAAAATTGATAAAAACCATGTCTAGTTGTTACAGCACCTAACTTTTATATTATCCGACATAAGCGAATCAATCAAAAAACAAAATGTTGAGAAAGCATGAGGCTATAGTTACGATTTAATTTCAGTATTCTACAAATGCTAGAAAAAAACACAGTTTGATTAGTACACCCGGTATACAATGAAAATTTGCCTGTTTGTCAAGGAATAAGGCTATAACATATTAAAAATCACTTAAATTGGACAAGTTTAGGAGATATAAGAAATAAAAAATTGCCCATTTTTAAGCTGGCCGGTTAATTTTGGCCCTGAGTCTACATAATTCTCCAAAATGAACAGTACCGAAAATTTTAACATTTTTAGAGTGATTGCATCCTTAGTCATCCAGTTATCTATGTAAAGCAATTTTTCTGTCTGTATAAATTATTCATAACATATTTTGTTTTTTTTTATAATTTAGATGACTCATAAGCCATCTATCCTGTAATACTAGTGTACTATCTCTGCTAAAAATGCGGGGAGATGACCCAAATATGTATTTTAACACATCTGATTAGGTAGTATTAATTTAAGGATTCCATCATATCCTTTTTTGTAGAAGTTGCGAGCTTTGTTTCTTGGTAAAGCTACCAATACTAATAATGAAATATTTGTAGAGATCTTCCCCAAATTTTTTGATAAATGTCAAATATTGCACATTCAGCCAAGAAACATGGCATTTTTTTGCTTTGTTTCCTATTGGTAATTAAGTTTTCTATAAGTGCTGCTGAGAAAAAAATATGTTTGTTTCCCTTTCTAGTACTCCTTATTATTCTGACCCAGTGTCTAGGACAAAATAAGGGTGTCTCTCTTGCAGCCCAGCCCATTCGATATTTCCAAAATCCCGGTCATTTGGCAAGAAAGAGTAGTCCATGTGGACCATGAGTTTGTGATCGGTTGTTTCAATTCTCTCCTTTGGATCTCCAACAATACTTTTCCATATTAGCGACTACTTTATGTTCCTGTTCTGTCCAGGGCACGCTTCACTGTAAGCCATTAAATGTTTTTCCTCTTTGCAATGATCTTTCATGTATTTTAATATACATAAACCGACTTTTTAATAGCCTCTGCACTAGAGCAAGGTCTCTTCCACACACATGTGTAAGCCTCACCTGTTTCAGGATTATGAATTCCAAAATTATAGACATACATTTTTAATAAGCAATTAATATTGATAGTTTCAGCAAACCCAAATATCTTTGAAGATAAAAGTAGTAAGCATTTCTCCCTCGTTTTGTTTAAAAATTAGGCAAAACGTTTTTTGCTCTATGTAAATGGAGTCCATGTTGAAATTTAAACCTTTCTTTCTCACGACCATCATCACTAGCTTCTATGTTCAAGTTTAATCTGTAGCATAAACGTGTATTTTTAAGTGGAGTGTGAAAGGAAACATTAAATTCTGTAACGAAGAAATTTTGATAAACTTATCAAAATATTGTGAAAGGCTGTGTTTTTTCTTCTGTGTGTTCTTTAAAGAGATCATACATCTTTCGAATATTAAAGTCTGGACTAAGTTTCTTCCTATTTGGATCGAGTCCTTGTGTAATGGCTTTCATACTTGGGAAACCTATATGGTCTTTTACTAAGGAAATGCTTCATCGGATATTATATTAATTGTCTCAAGCTTTCCTCGATTATCTTCACCAGGAAATCGACCAAGTTCTTCCTTTTTTTGCACCCTTTGGACTCTTTTGTTAGACACCGAAAAGGTATCTAAAAGAATGTTTGCATATCATCATACTTTCACTTTTTATTTAGAAAATATTTATAAATGACCAACTTTCAGTCTTTTGATAACTTGCTCCTGTCCTGCAAATAAAAATTAGCAGAGTGCTGTGCTGCTCTGCCAAACCTTCATCTGACAACCACTACCAAAAGTTTGTGTATGAAGTGCACAAAAAATGATTATTAGCGCCTCTATTGATCGGATTACAAACCTTGTTTATTTACATTAATAATTTATATCCATACAAGGGATACTATATCAGTTAGCAATGTTGGAAATCAAAGCCACGGACTTGTCCACTCTTTCGCTTGCAAAAACAAAGGATTCCGTTTCTATTAGAAACCCCTTGAGCTCTCTAGCGGTCATAATACAAATTAAACTTAAATCACTTTGTTAAATGATATTTAGCAACCTAATGAAGTGAAAAAGTGGTGTAAGTAAGAATTTTAATATACTACTTTGATTTTGATTGGCTTAAATGTGACGAATTTGTTTATGCGTGTGAAATGTCACAGACATCTTTTCGGCACTCTTTATTTTGGCGAATATTGTACTTTGAAACTGTAAAAACGTACCATATTGATATTTTCCCCTTTTTCTATAAACAATTTTATGTTTTTTCATCAGGTGACCTCAGAGCTCAGCTAAGTAGAAAAAGAGCTGAAAAACTGAAACTTCCATCTGCTGAGGTTTCAAGCAGGATCTTGCAGTACGCCTTACAAGGTGCGATTTTTAAGAAGGCAAAGAAAAAATCAAAGAAGAAGAGTTTATCCAGCAGCGGTAAGTAGCTGAATTCTATTATGTAGGAAGAGTTTTATTTTTAATTTATGACTTACAAGAGTCTTTTCCGTGTTGATTTTGATCTTCCATTTGTCTGTGTAGTCTGCTATTATCTCCAGATGTTTTTCTAGTCTCTCGATGATTCTTCTGTTGTCCTTGGCTGCAGTGGAGATCGCTATATCGTATGCGTAGAAGGCTGCGTTTGTTCTGACATCAATGAGTAGATCTGAAACTAAAATGTTATATTATAATGGTGATAAAATGCTGCCATGAGACATCTTTTCTTAAACTACTTGCATCCTAGAAATCTTTTGGTCAGCTGAGTCATGAAAAATTCTGTTGCTCAAATATGCGTTACATATATTGACTAGATACTGAAGCAGCCTAGCTCTTTACATCTTGAAGGTTAGAGTTTTTTTCCAAACTGTGTCATAAGCTTTTTTTATGTCTAATAATATGGCCAATCTCCTTCTTTTGTTTCTGTTGAAGTCAATTTTTGCATCGTTGAATTACTCTTGCTAATTGCTGTTCGCAGTTTCTTCCTTTTCGAATCTAAAATGATCTTGGATGACCCTTCTTCTTTCATCATGTTTACAGTCTTGTGTAGATTATTCTTTACAAAAATGTTTCCTAGTGGTTTCAGTAAAAGTTCTTTCTGGTCTGTTCGCATCTTTGCTTGGCTTCAGTATTTTCATGTTTCCAGTTGTTTGGAAGCGAGTTCTTCCTCCTCTATTTACATTTGCAGTGAATAATAGAATGCTGTGATACCCAACACAACAAATATCGCCTCCAGCAACATATCCTTCAAGGAGAGATGGAGAGCCGAAAAAGTCCAGGGTAAACAACAAATTCACATGGATGCAAAACCTACGCAAGTGGTTTGGTCTAACATTTTGAGAGCTTTTTAGACAAGTCTCTAATACTGAGGTAACTGAAGATTCAGATGAGAATAAAACAGGTCAAACATTCAATTGTCTCGTAGTCTAGTTGAGTTCAGAATGTCAAGATGTTAATTGCGAGGAATCGTACACTGTTCTAATATAATACGATATTATTGAAATTTTTAAGTTTTCTTACAGAAATTGATCTGACATTACTAGTTTATTATATTATTGACGAATAACTTTCTTCCTAGAAATCGCTGCTATTAGAAAGATAATTCACGCTGACTGTTTGTCAAGAAACTTTGACAGATCGATAAATGGCAGTAGAATAGTGAAAATTTACACTAACAGAAAATTTACAGTAAGAAATGAGTTCCCATTTTCAGGTATTTAGTATTTTATATCATCCATTTCAGAAACAGATGTTCCTTAAACTTTTTTTTCACATTATTTCTGACTGTTAAAATTTCGTACAAGTTTTCACATTTATATCTTGTCCTTAACCTTTATAAAATCTGTAAAGTAATTACGGAGTAATAAATCAACACATGATAAACCACAACACATTAAGAGCAAATTTTATATCGAAAAAGTATTGTGTTATGGTTAATTTGAATTTTTACAAGTTCAAATCCATCAACAGTTTGTTAAGATAATTAAAAAAAAAAAACATTTTTTTGTAATATTTAATAAATATTAATAAATTTTTGCAATGATGACCGTAAGTGACTTGTAACTTTTTTATCCCCTATTTATATCATGAAATCTCACAGTTTCTATTAAATAGGTACTTAAAGAATTGCGTTTTAGAATTTCGAACTAGAAAGGATAATCTAAATGTTTATTTACACAGCCAAATTGCCTCGGGTTAAAGCAGTCGCTATCTCTTTTTAATTCGTTCTCCCTGTTTAGCCCCTAGTAATTTTAAAATAATAACTACGTTTTCAATCAATATAGGCCAGAAAAAGTCTCAGATCTTTTTATGCGGTCAATAAATAACCTTGAGATCGCCCACTAAGTTGCTAAGTCAGGAAGCGAGTACTGCAGAGGAAAAGTTTTTTAATTCACAAATTATTTTTGCAAAAAATGTCTTTAAATAAGCAGTTAAATGTTTTTTGCTAATAAATAAATAGAATTACTTTCAACTTTTTCATGGTGTACTTTTCTAATTAGATGGACCAAAAATTGGTTGAAAAACACAAATTTAACACAAAAAAGAACCTTATACAACCAATTGAAGCCAAGTTACTAATTAAAAAAATCATATCCCTCTTGTCAATAAAATTTTCGCAGATGGTCAATGAATACCTATATTTTATGATGCATTTGGTAAGTGTGCAATTTATGTAATTTAAAATAAGCAGTAACTCCAAATGAGAGTGCGCTGAACAATTCGTAATATCTCCGGTGCTAGAACCTTCATTATTTTTTTAAAACCCAGATAAATCGACAAAATATTAAATGCTGGATAATTTTAATTGCCCTAAAAACTCAATGCCGGTAAATTCACAATTTCCATTTTTTTTAACTATCGGGTAACAGCCTTGTAGTAAAATTACATGACATCTTAAAAATTGTTAATAGTTATAGGGAAGCCGAACCTTATAGGAAGGTTCAAGTACTGACGGCGATGACATAAATATGATCACTTATAAATATTCCACATAAGAATGTGTGTAATGATTTTTTAATTATTTATATTCAAATAATAATATTTTATATTCAAATAAATAATAAAATTATAAATGTATCTTTAAATATGATAAATTTAATTTTAAAAAGAAAAAAATAGTTAATTAATATGACAGTAAAATATTAAACATGTATTCTTAAAATAATCAAGTACTATGTATTATTAATTTACAAAAAATTATACAAATATATTGCTTATGGCGAATTTAATGTAGAGATAAGGATTGAATAGTTGAGTATTTATGTTGCTCAAAAATTTTAAAAAGTAGTCAAATCGAATAGGCTTTTAAACATATAAATTGCTTCAATGAGTTATGTCCATATTATTTTATTTACTTTAATTTTATATTTATTATCCAAAATAATATTTCTTTAAAATAATAGTTACTGTGGAATCATTTCTCCTAAATATGATAAAATGTAAAACTTTTTATGCAAATCGCAATAAACAAATATCTCTCAATCTTAAAAAAACTCGACTGTGTGTACAGATTCGCATTCGACTGAATACTGAGATAGTTCACATTTTGATAACGCTAAGTACTAGTGTCATATTTATAGATCAGTACAATAAAACTTACAATGACGATTCAACAATATGAAACTTTTATTATTATCCCTCAACTGGCGTCGTGGTTTATTCTGCCGTTAACTACGTCCTGGGGTCTGCCAAACCGCACTTTGTTTTTGAGTTTTTTGTGAAATTAATAAAGACATACTTAATTCATTATTTCATTATAATTTGTAATCATTTTGGTACTCTGTGTCAGTGTCGCTTTTGCTTCGGATATTTTCGAGATCTTATTGTTCACTCCAAAAACATTCATTGTTATTTGTGTTTCTAATATTGGCAATAGTTAAGGTAGATATACAGATTCAAGATTCTCTCTGTAAAAGTGTATTGTTATTGGCTACACGTTTTTAATTAAAAAATTATATCCAATGGCAATGCAAAATTTTTAATTTTAGACTTTATAATTTTAGTGACATTTTTGTCTTGGTATTACTAAGTATTTTGCAATTTAATTTATTTTAAAAGTAATTTATTTAGTAGGTAAGGTATACTGAGTGATAATGTTGCCTGTGAACAATATGAACGTATTAGCTTTTGAGGATGAGGAGAGGTTAAGAGTATTAAGAAACTTTAACATTAATAGGCGTTTACTTAGAGATTAAAGTGATCCTTTCAATGAACTAACAGATTTTCAGTTTAAAGGATTGTATCGTTTAACCAAAGATATAGCAAGAAATATATTAAATGGAATCATGCAAAATATGGTCATCCATAATAATGTGGCAGTTCCAGTCGCAATAAAGTTTTTTGATACCCTCCAATTTCTTGCTACTGGTAGCTACCAAAACACTATAGGGCAAAATTTACAATTAGTGTCCCAACAAATAATGACTAGGGCAATAATTTTGAAATAATTGAAACCATTATTGAGACATTTGCAAATAAAATCAAATTTCCTAACTCCATTAAAGTGAAAAATACCAAAAAAATAAGATTTATACGATACGGTTATACAATATACGACACGATGTTTACATATAAATAAACCGCTAACTCTAACCTAAATTTTGAACGCTTTTACCGATTAGTTGTATCTCTTTCTAACCAATGCGTCCAATTATCAAGCGACGTGTGTCTCTCTCTAAAACAACACGTCTGAAGGTGTTGAGTGGAAGCGAGGCCACAGCTACAAATAAGTTGATACAAAACGACAATTGACACCTTGAAATGGAAGACAGAGTACGACACGTATCGTTTTTTGGCGACTATTGATATCAACATAACACAGGGTTTACCTACCGGGGTCTGCCAAACCGCACTTTGTTTTTGAGTTTTTTGTGAAATCAATAAAGACATACTTAAATCATTATTTCATTATAATTTGTAATCATTTAAACTGGAATAAAACCATGTAAGCCCATTTTTAATTTATTTTTCATTAATAATAACAAATGCTATAAAAATTACATAACTTATAACATAACTTATTTTTCAAGGTTTTCTAACAGCAGGATAATTTTTTACAAAAGAAATATAACTGCGAACTATTTACAAGTACCATTTTTCTAAATGCAATTCTTGCAAACATATGCTCTTCAGTCGCCGCACATAAGTCAGGAACATTTTTTGCTGCTTTTTTTTTTCATTTTTTGGATCACAAAGGCTTTTCTTTATTTACACTGTAGAGTAATACAAGATAGCGAGAAACGCTCTAAATTCTTCCTTTGTTAGTTCTCTCAATTCTGTTCTAGATCAGAATAGCTAAATTTATCTTGAAATAACAATCTTTTCATTTGTCCGTAGAATTATTTAAATTTCCATATCCTCTGTGAAAAGAAGGCTCCATATTTTTAAGGCATCAGAGACATCACCACATTTTGTAAGTCTTTTCAACCCCGGAAGAAGATTGTGTTTTTTTGTTCTAATATTCAAATCTGGAGTGGCCGGAACAGCAGACCACTTTATCGATTTTTACCAACACAAAGCTTTCCATCTGTTGTGTCTGGCCCCTCTTCTTCTTCACCTATAGCCTGACTTTCTTGTGTTTCAGCATCGTCCCCCTGATCTTCCATCTCAGAATCAGAGTTATGGTCACTTTCTTTAGAAAATCTTTGCCGTTGTAGTCCTTACAATCACCAAACTCGCTTTCTATTTCATCATACCACCGCATTATAGTTTCATCAAAATTAGGCTCTCCGAAATAGGCACTATTTTTGAAGAACCTTCCATTCCAGAAATAAACAGTGCACCAACTTAAAGGTAGATCGCGCGGCCATGTATAAATGCTAAATTTTCAAGTTTTACATGAATTTAAAAAGCACTGAGGGTCTGTCTGACCACCATCGAGCAAAAAGACAAAAGAGGGAATCTAATCGTTATGAAAAGGAGATCAAAAAAGTGGCCTCTGATGGCGGACATATCCGAAAATGAGAATGCCCCAAATTTAAAGTAGCTATAAAATATTTTTTAGAATGAATCATAGACGAAAAAGTTTTAATGAAATAATAACGATAATAGTCACAATTGTTAAAAAAAAATCAATAGATAATATAAATAAGATTTCATGTGACAGTTGGGACAAACAATAACATCAGCAATAACATAACCTAACTAAATTTGATTTCTTAAATAAGGACAGGCTCTCTTTCCTTGTTTAATGTGGCCTCTCATAATGGCACTTCCTGTCTAACAATATTTTTGCCCCCACTACCTTTATATTCTCTCTTTTGTCTTTTTGCTCGATGCTGACCACACAGTGCCAGTTGAGGTTTAAATGTGAAAACCTTAATGAAGTCAGCAAATTTGTCCGATGTTTTTAATTTTTTATTGAAAGGATATTGGATATATACAGCCTAAAATATCTATGGAACATTTTTCTTTAAATTCAAACAAATTTAAGGGTTAAAAAAAATAAAATTTTCGCTGATCTATAAATAGGACGCTGGCCTATAATGGGTTTTAACTAACAAACCGATCTGATTGAACTTTGGCATACTTGAACATTGACACATAAGATCCAATGTTATATGTTATTTGCAGTCTTTATTGCAAAAATTATTAATATTTATTAAATAGTGCAAGATTTTTTTAATTATCCCAACAAATTGTTGATGGATTTGAACTTGTAAAAATTCAAATTAACCTTTTTTTGACAACACACTAGTTTGTTAATATAACAGTTGCTTTTAATATAATCAAAAAATGCTACAGGCAAAAAATTATATTTTTGTTTCTAAAGAATTATGGCCGATCTGGTAGTGCCTTGATATGCATTTTTCATTAAATATGTCCCCTCTATGATCTAAAGCTATCAGATAACTGTAATAAATTTTCCCGTGTAATCGATCATTTTTATTTGTATACTGGGTTAGCTGATTTTATGAAACTTAGTACGTTTTATAGATTTCGAAGCCTAATTATCATCCAATCTGACTTCTACACATCTTTTCATAATACACAAACATTTTTTATTCCGTCTATTTATTTAATCGATTGCATATTCATTCCAGATTCAAAATTACCGATCCATTACAGACTTGGCCTAACGAGTCCGCAGGATTTCCTCGAAGATTTTCAAGTGAAGAAAAAGAAAAAGCGAAAGAACCGACATTTACTCGAGCAGGTATATAGTATTTTGTTACATAATTTCTATTTTATTTAGCGATGTAATTAGGTTAAGCGAGTTTTGCTAATTTACCTGACTTAAAAAGTGGCTTTGTTAAAATCGCTCCAATCTTAAGTAGCTAAATTTATAGTTAATATTTTTTTGAAAAAACAAAACTGTATTTGAAGTTATACAATTTACACAATTAATGTTTTACTTGGTGTTATACGCCAAGAGTATGTATGTATGTATATCGTTCGAGTCATGTGTGAGTTATACAATTGTTCTATAGGGTGTTTCCACATTTACTTGCTATTTTCCATATTCAACTCTTTGACTCATATTTCTTTAGTTGCAAGCGTCTTTTTTGAAAAATTGCAATATGTTGTTCTTCTTCTTCTTCAGCCTTAAGTAATCCAATTTTGGACATAGGCCTCCCCCAAATCAATCTTGTGTCTTCTATTTTGGGCCACTTGCTTCCAGTTGTGTCCTCCGATCTTCTTTATATCATCCGCCCATCTCATTTGTGGTCTTCCTCTGCTTCTCTTTCCTAACCATGGTCTCCATTGTTGTATTTCGTGGTATCATCACTTATCCTTCAGTCGGACATTGTGTCCTGCGAAGCTCCATTTAATTTGGCAGCATGTTCTCCTTGGTTTTGCTTATAATTCATTTGTGTCTTTTTTTGTCTAGTCTCACCCCGAGCATTGATCTTTCCATCGTTCTTTGTGCTTTTACTATTTTATCCATATTAGACTTGGTGAGTGTCCACATCTGTGAACCATACGTGAATCACTGATCGTAAATTCTGGTTTTAAAATATTGTTCTATTTTAGTGCTTTTCAAGAGAAAACTGTTTTCCAAATCCTGCCCACGCTAACTTTATTCTTCTGGTAATTTCGGCAGTTTGATTTTCTTTGTTAACTTTCATTATCTGTCCCAGGTAGATGTATTCGCTTACTGTTTCTAACTTTATGTCGTTCAACGTTATTTCTCTAATGTTCGGTGTATTTGACATTATTTTTGTTTTTTCCAAGTGCATCTTAAGACCTACTTTTTCCGAAGCAATATGTTGTAGGTCCATATATTTCTATTCAAATTCATTTTTCCGTTTTAAAGGGATCTGTGTATTATTTAATCTCTTTCTTGTTGTGTTTGGAAATATATATCCCAAATACAACATTCCTTGATACAGCGTCGCATTGAACTTGCACAATCTATGGTAGGAATAGACTAATATGTGCAATATTACAAGATATATTGCTTGTACATTAATTTTTTGACATTTCATCCTTTTATAAGTAGTTATTTATTCACTATAAGTAGCTTTTACAGAAACCTCAAATGTATGTTTGCAGAATACCCAGAATAAACTGATGACAGATATGTGACATCAGTTCTGAGAACTTGGTGTTTACAATTTTGGAACTGTTCTTTAGACTGTTTCGTTGATCCCATTACACTTTTGTCCTCGTGGCATTTAGGTTGCACCTATTGCTCCAAATGATATGTTCTGAACATAAAACATCTGAGTTTTTAGGCAATAACCACAGTTTATGAATAAATAATCATCTCTATAATCATTCACTGGATACATGTTTCTTGATGGTATATTTTGAGTACTTCGTGTACTGAAAATGAATCCTCTCCTCCAGATATTCCCCATTCAGTATATTAGATCCCTGATACTAATTTTTTGAAGAATTTACATATGGATATAGCTAATTGGCGTTTTTGAGTGTTTAATTTGAATGTCTTCAGTATGCAAGTTTTTGATTATCCAATTTTTCTTCTTAAAGTTATTTTCTATAATAAAGATTTAACATATCGTTAAGTAATTTTTTAGCAGTTACAAGTGACAGCTCACCTTGAGCACTTTTGGTTCTTAATTTTTATTTCATGTATTGCTTCTTTTGTTGATATATGTATGTCTCATAATTTTCCAATGAGTTAGGAAAGATTATTAGAGGGGAACAGATAAAATAATTTGCAGACTGTGTGTGTGAGTGTGTAAAATATGAACAACTCTCACAAAAAAAAGTAAGATATTGGTAAACATTATTGCATGCATAGTATAAACGTTTGGTTCGATTTAGCAAAGCCAACATTCAGATTTGTGCAAAAATGATTAAACTTCCCAGGTAAATTAGCCAAAATTTTCTTTTTTTTTTCATTCTTGTAAAACCAATGCAGTGGGATTACACTAATACGGATAAATATAAACTTTAATCGTTTTTTAATTTTTTTTAATGTGTCTTGAATGACAGTTACTCTCTCTTCTCTCTTTCTCTAGTTTAGACACTACTCTTAACTTGAATTATTATATATTGTTTAAAACTTGATGGATGGCTGTTCCTGATAAGTTTTCAAAATATAGTAAAAGCATACATACTATCGCTACATGTCACTAGTTGTTTGAGTAATTAACATTAAACCTACAACGACGTTTACAATCCATAGTTTTTCAAAATGTAGCGAATGCATGAATGAAAAAGCGTCAACTCCATCCACCAATTTTATCTTAGGGTTGTGTCAAAACGGTAGAAACCTTGATACAACACTTAATTAGTAATTTACAAGATTTAAGTAATACAAATATAACTCTCTGTAAGTCAAAATATAATCATTCCAAATGCCTAGAGTAGTAAGAAGGTTGAATCTTTTGTGTTATCGAGACCAAAGTGACGTGGTATGGAATATCTCAAATATTTCTATACACACAGAGTATTCCCCTCCTATGTACCATCTCTATTGAGGTTGGTGACCAGTATAACAAAGTCTTGTCTATTGTGGCCTTGGTGCATAAAAGCGCTTCCTCCGGTTTCTTATATTCCTGAGCCATGATTTCTTCTTTTTTCCTATACCACATTTCCTTTAACTTTTCCCTCAATCATTAGTTGTAGTAATTCGTATTCCTTGTGACACGTTATATGAGGTTTTCCTAACTTTGAGAAGATGTAGGCGAATATTCATCCTTAAAACTTCTATGTTTGATTGTTTTTGTGGTCCAACTTATTTGCAACATTCTTCTGTACAGCCACATTACAAATGCGTTGAACTTGTTGATGTCGCCTTAAAGTGTCCATGTTTCACAGCCATACAGAAGCAGTTCCATAACATTTTGTTATCAGTCTTATTGCCATGGCCAGTCTTACTGGGTTGCAAAATATGTTTATCCTGTTTATGAGTCCTGCTCTGGCGATTTAAATTCTCCTCTGGATTTCCTTTGAGTGGTCTAGTTGACAATTTATTTCTCTACCCAGGTATATACCAATTTAGTGTTACCATTGCTTGTTCAAATGCAGCCTCTGTGATTTCAATCCGTGTTACAAATGGTAGTGATATCACCTGTTGGAGAATTTCTATAATTCATTTTCTGTTTGATTCTATCAAAAGCTTTTTTGTAATAAACAAAGCGGGTGTAGAGGTCTCTTTTTACTTCCAAATATCTCAGTGATTAGCGTTTGTCTCAGGATTGCATCTCTTGTTCCTATACCCTCTCTGAAACCATATTGTGAGCAGCTTAGATATACATCGCATTTGTTTTAAATACGATTAAATATTATCCTTTATATTCAATTGCAGCAAATATAGAACACTAGTTAGTTAATAAGTTTAAGAAATTGAGCTCTTACCGACGGGTAGTATGTCATCATTATCATCTTTGACTTGATAATCCTTTGTGGATCCTGGCCTGCTCTAAGATTCGTCGCCATTTTGTTCGGTTTCTGGCGACCTGTTGCCATCTTCTGATTTTTAATATTTCTCACGGTAGTATGTATTTTTCCTTAAATAATTAAATAAGAACATTGTTTTATAAGTTATTTGCAATTAAACAAGAACATCTCATAACTCTCTTCTCTCTCTGTCAACCATTTTCCATCCACTCCTGAATGTAGGTCTCTCCCAATTGCTTCCATCTTCTCTGTCTTGCTCCAATCTAATCCACTGTTTGCTGCCACTGCTCTTATGTCATCTACCAATATTTTTTGAGGTCTTTCCATGCTTCTTGTTGTCGTCCTTTGTCCCCATTCTAGAATTATCCCTGTCCATCTGTTGTCATTATATCGGGCTGCGTGACCTGCATCTCATAACAGATCCCACATTTTAATGTATAAGTTGGCCTGTATTTGTTCTTTTATATATAATTTTATATAAAATTTTAAATGAGTTTTAGCTCCCTTGTTAATAAAAATTATTGTAATTGTGTCGGTCTAAATGACAATTAAAAGTGTGCAATTGTTTATATGTATTTTGGTAATTAATGTTTGTAATGCTAACATTAGACCGTTCAAAAATTTCCAAGAAACGTCAACAAAACTGGAACGATGATATTGCATTAGCTGAATGCTATATGACTGCAATGATTTCATTTTTAGAAAGGTCCAGTTGATGTGTAATGTAGCATCCCCGATATGTAAAATGGGAAACATTGTCGTGAGCTTGGCGGCTAAATACCATTCATTTGTCTTAGAAGTATTTATTTTTGGACCCATTTCTTTTCCTGTCATGTTTACGCAATTCATCATTCTTGAAGGCCCTGGAGACTATCGGATAAGATAAATGTCGTCAGCGTATCTAAGATTATAATGAGTTCACTATTGATTTTCACTTAAAAGTCTTTTATCTTGTAAGATCTGTTTGAAAATTATATCCGATTAGATATTAAATAACCGCGGGGAAAGAATGCATCCCTGTCTGCCGCAATTTTATACATTTTAACTAATCAGTATTCTGTTTAATGTACCTTATTCTATTTTTGTACATAAATCTCTTATATCCTATATCATACATATCAATACGTATAAATTTTCGTTGTATAAAATAAATCTTACTTGAAATTAAATGTTATTAGCGTATTTCCACTGCATCAAAAACTTAGTGTAATTAATATAATGAATGAAAGCGTATGTCTGTATTTATGTGAGAATGATGTGAAGATTTAAAAGATCTCTCTAGTTTTGTACTTTAGGAGACCAAAAATTTATTTTTCTTAAATTAAAAATATATTAAAAAGT